TATTAGATGTTCCTATTGTGATGTGGAATGTACTATCTATAATAATATACTATGTCTTTATAGTACACCTTTTTTATAAACATAAAAATAAATTTGAAGTGCCCACCTTAATTAATTTTGAGCTATTTGTGCCCACCCAGAAAAAAAATACTGGCGTCGTCCCTATGTATGCATCACACAATCTACTACATGGGAAGCATATAAGAAGCCAATACGAGTTCAGTGCTTTGAAATTTGTGGGTCTTGAAACAATAGCAATGGTAAGACCATATGAACCAGCAAAAGTAAATTTGAACCGAATTCTCGTTCACGTCAATTGCCCGGGCAACGATAACGATATCGCGAATATGGCAGTCAGGCACGCAGCTGCCGTTGATTTGTTTACAAGACAATGCCCCTTTTTAGGGACATACCAGGTGAATAAAAAGTATGGAACCAAGCGTTTTTTTCGTAAACTAAGCACTTTACGAAAAAACTAATTAGTATAGCGTAAAGTACAATTAAAATGTGACCATTTAACAAGAATAACATTTTTCGAAATTTCTTTTAGTTTTCGAGTTCTGGAAAATTTTTTTTTTTTTTAATGGCAACCCACCATGGTAATTTTTTTAATTAAAGATTATGATCTAAAAATGACCTCTAATTAAATAAAATTGTTTTTTAGCCAGTACTTTTTTTTAAATTAATTGTTAAAGTTGCGTTCCGAGCTCATCACGAAGATTTTCCGAACTTAACCGAAGTGGTTGTTTCATGCTTTTCATCATGGGAGAGCGCTGATTTCTATGCAGGTGTTTTGGGGTGGTTTCGAATTGACTAAAAATAGAAGAAAATGATTTGTTTTTACATTTTTTAATCCATCCGGAACCACCCCAAAGCACCTGCACCAAAAACCGGGCTCTCCAACGACTCCCTCGTTCAAGTTCGGAAAATCTTCGTGATGGACTCGGAACGCAACTTTAACAATTTATTAAAAAAAAAGTACTGACTAGAAAATAATTCTGTTTAATTAGAGGTCATTTTTAGATCATAATCTTTAATTTAAAAAATTACCATAGTGGGTTGCCATTTAAAAAAATTTTTTTTCAGAACTCGAAAACTAAAAGAAATTTCGAAAAATGTTGTTCTTGATAAATGCTCACATTTTAATTGGGCTTTACGCTACACTAATTATTTTTTTTGTAAAGTGTTAAGTTTACGAAAAAACGCTTGGTTCCATACTTTTTATTCACCTGGTATGTGGAGGAAGTCATTCCCATTAGAAGAAAAGGAAGAAAAAAGTGCCCATGGCGAGTGCGGTATACCCGAGACATGAATCAAAGATTTCTTCAAATGAATGGTGAACAATTATATCTTATACTAAAACGTATAGCCGCTCCAGGTCAAACCCTACTCAGAATTCGGGAACAGTAAATTAAAGAAAGTGTAAAAAAGAATCCAATACCTAATAAATAGATATTTGTGTAATGGTTTGTGATTGAGTTTTAATAAAGTCATATTTTCCAATCTCCAATAAGAGCACAAATATTTTCGGTAACAATTACGATAAGTATGTAATAAAGTGATTTTCATGAATTTTAAGTGTTTTTAAATTTCATTTGACGAAACCGTATTCAGATGAATGCTGAAGTAGTCCAATTCAAAAACAGGGTGGTTTTCCTTATTTTTGGCATAAAAATCTGGCTCACATTTTAAAAAAGGTCATAAAAATAGGGTAGTTTCTATAAAAAATTGATGTTTCAATACGTAATGGGCTTAAGAACAGGTCATTTTCTCAATTTTTTGTGTTTTTGAAAAGACCTCAATGGGCTCTTTTTCAAACTCAACAAATTTCAACAACTAAAACTTGAAAATCGACTGATTTTCCTAAAAAAATTGATAATTTAGGAAAATCTGAGTTAGAAAATTAGGAGTTAAAAATAAGGATAAAAAGTCAAACTCAACGTTGTTTTTATTGAAAAAAAATGCATAAAAAATAGGAAAATGACTAAAAAAACTAGACATAATAATCTAGAGTTAAAAAGTTAAAATATTACTTAAATACTAATAAGAATGTGTAAAATATTTGTAATGAAATGCATTGTAGTTTTATTTTACGCGTAAAACATCAAAGAAAACTGTTACATTTAAAACGTTATTGGAAATTAATTTGATTCGCCGTGTTTTTGTTTAATTTACTGTTTGATTTCATGGTGTATTTTGAAATAAAGAGAAATGAATTATGAATAAATATGATGAACTTTTTGTCCGTTAACAACAAATAATAATAACTTATTGGATGTTTAGTGATCAACTAAAAATAAATGCAACTGTTGACAAAGTTAGAAGCAACAATTAACTAAAAATTCAGTCAAGTATTTTTTAAATTTTTACACAATTGGGAGAGAATATTTGACGCATTATTCTACATGTTGCAACAAATAAAAACCTGGCGAAAATGGGATGTATGTATATATATAATTATGTATATAACGTTATATCCATAATTATCTTTATTTATCGGTATATTGACAATTATCGATATTTATCAATAATATCGATATTTTATAAATACTATATCGATACGATATATCGTTATTTTTTATCAAAATATCGGCAAAAATTCGTAGCCCTAACAACCTTACAATATTTTGACTTGTTTGAAGTTGTATAACATAACATTAACATTTTTTCTCGTCTAATTTTTTTAACATTTGTCAAGACGATGGCATGTACTTAAAATGTTAAAAATTTTTTAAAAATCATTACATGTCATAATTGAAGATAAAGACACCTTCTTGACTTGGTCGTACTACAAAATTGCAGAACTTACAGGTCTCTACTTTTGTAGAAAACTGTTAAAAACTTACATAACTTCAGAATTGTCACCCTAAGTTTTGGTAGGCCCTGATTTTTTTTTTGTATATTCCTATTTATACTCCCAATTCAAAAATTCTGTATAGATTTGGGTAAAAAAATAGAGACCATTTTGTTTTCTTGGTGCTTTTTAGTGTTAGCTTGAAACAAAATGGTTAAGACGCTTATAAGCTCTAGGAATTACAAAAATTATTCCCGGTTCCGAGTTGATAGGGCCGTACAGGCTAAAAAAAGGACTGGTAGATCTTATAAATAAATAGCAGACGAATTTGGCCACCATTTATCGAAAAGTTAATAATTTGATGACAAGAGACCCGGAGGGCAATGTGCGCTATCAGAAGAAGATAAAAAGGCTGTAATTGATGCTGTGATAACAGCCAGCGAATGAAAAAGACGGTTTGTTAATTGTTGATAACGTCGTTGTTATCGTCACTGGACATGTAGTTAAGACTTTCCATTTGTTGAATAGGGTTCATGTAAATTAAAGACGACGTACAAAGAAATTCGTAAAATAAAGATCAAGCAATCGTAAAAAAGATTATCAGGAAGGTGCTAAATCAATTACACCTCTGCAAAGTGCAAAATTATGCTAATCAAAGAACAGCAAAATTTACTCAAAAGTATCACCAAAACGGCGAAAAATTAGACGCCACCGCTTTTACGCAGCACTAACCTCTTTCCATTGCTGACTCCAATCGCTGCGACCTAAATAACTTGAAAATCTTCTATCAGGTTCTACTTTTAAATGTTCCAGCATTAAAACCAACGAACTAAAACATTTAAATAATCAAACAAACTATCACTAAGTCATTAACTAACTCAGTCAACGGTTTCACAAAAACTGCGCATGCTTGCCATATATGTGTTGACATTGTTGACAATTCGCGTGACTGCTTAGCGCGAAATTTAAAATGATGTTTCCATTTTCTCCATTTATGCGACACCCCCCTGAGGTTTTTTCAACCAAAAAGTTGATTATTTTGCCAAATTTTCTCAAAAAATTTAGAAAAAATAACTAAATTTGGTTTTCTTAGCAACCAGTGAAAGTTGTCAGATTTAAATTGAAATTTTCTATAAATTTTTGATTTTTACATTCTGACAGTTGTCCCGATACATGATATAATTAAGAGATAAAGTTTAGGGGAGGTTTACCTATGTAAAAAACTCGAGCAATCATTGTAATATAGTCTGGAATTCGTTTTATAAAACAAATAGTAGAAATTGAAAGAGTAACAAGAAAAATGATAAATTTGATTTTTTTTTATTCTAACAAACAACCTGACCGATTTTCAGTTCCACAAATAAGCACTATCAATTGTGAGGAAATACTAGTAATTATAGGTTTAACTCGTCTTATTGCAGTCGTACAGCAACGCAGTTTCATGTTTTGATAAAATTGTTAAACATTTTTACTTTCGTTATAACATTTTACTTTTCGTTAAGTAGTATAAATTTCATATAATCTAATATGTAATGTTATATGTATTATTATGTTTTTCTTCTGTTATTATTTTCATTTCACACTATTACATTTCCAACAATTCAACAATAGCTTCCTTGCCTTGCCTTTATGTACTTTGTAATTTTATTAATAAAAGTTGTTATGTTCTTATAAAAGCTGGGAGTTTCAAAATTCTAATAACGTACTTGTGTTAGTAATAATTAACGATGCAACTACGACTCATCAACATTAGCAATTTCTAACAAATCACACTTGACTTAATTTGTAATAAATTTAAATAAACACAATTTTATTTTTAGTTTTTTTCAGTTTACTATTTCTTTGTAATAGTTTCACGGTAAACAATTCTCATTTATTGCTGTCTGTCAAAATGAATCTTTTTTTTAATGAGCCTATAAATAAAACAATGTTCAACAATAAAAAATCACATTTTTTTCCTAAAGAACAGGTTTCTAGAAGTATTTATGAATTTAGGGAATTACCTAATTGGCGGATGTAAGGTTACTAAATACGTTAATTACGAACAAAAACAAGGATTTTTTTGAGAAAATTGACCAAAATCTCGACAAACTGCAAGGCTTTTGGGGTAAATTTTTCTTATTGCACTTTCCCAGAAGTGGGCTTTTGAAAAAAAAAACGAAACGTCCTTCTTGCATTGACCATGATTGCTGAAACGTCACCGGTGATTATATTGAAATAACCATCTCTCATCAACTCCTGACCAGTTCCAGTACCTCCGTGCTAATGTGTTAATAAATCTCGTACAAAGCAGTATTAAAAAATGTTGTGGATTTTTCTATTAAATGTTGCGTTTTTTGCCGTATTACCAGTCAATGCCCAAGGTAACAAACTTGTATTTTCGTGCATTTTCCCAAAATTTCAAATTCCAGTGTCCGAAGGCGTTCCCTGTGAAACCCCGGACGAGGAATACGGCGTGTGTATAAACATCTACAACTGCACCCAACTGATCAACCTCCTCGTGGCGCAACAAAACAACCCCCAAGTCCGCAACTTCCTCAAATCGTCCACTTGTGGCTTCATCAACACCGTCCCTTTAGTATGTTGTCCCCAACCCAAGACCACCAGTGCCCCCCTGATCTCAACCCCCAAACCGACCCCCACCCCCGTCGTGACCGACAAATCCAACACTATCACCACGCTGCCACAACAGCCCCACTGCGGACTCAGCAACCACTCCAACACGAGGGTTGTCAACGGCCAACCTGCCAAGCTAGGTGCATAAACATCATTTGTTTAAATAAACTAAGTTCAAGGCTAGGATGAGCAACAATTAATGTTTTCGTTGGCTTCAGGTGAATTTCCATGGCTGGTTGCGTTGGGTTATAGGAATTCGAAGAATCCAAATGTGCCAAAATGGCTTTGTGGGGGGTCACTCATCACCGAGAAACACATTTTGACAGCTGCCCATTGCGTGCATAACCAGCCTACTCTGTAAGCCCAAAAAAAAATTCAAAAAATCAAATTCAAATTGATTTTTTTAGTTATACGGCCCGTTTGGGGGATTTGGACCTTTACTCCGACGACGATAAGGCCCACCCTGAGACAATCCCCCTTGTCAAGGCCGTAATCCACGAGAATTACAGCCCTGTCAACTTCACAAACGATATAGCAATCCTCACTCTTGAAAGGAGCCCCCGTGAAAGTACGGCTTCCCCAATTTGTCTCCCCTTTGACGAGCCGGTCCGTAGTCGCAATTTGGTGGGTACGTACCCCACAGTGGCCGGTTGGGGCTCCTTATACTTCCGTAAGTTTGTGAAAGTTGTTTCGATTTTTTGATTTTTTTTAAGGGGGTCCCTCGAGCCCCACTTTGCAGGAGACGATGCTGCCTGTGATGGACAACGGGTTGTGTAGTCGGGCCTATGGCACGAAATCTGTTATAGATAAGAGGGTTTTGTGTGTGGGGTTCCCCCAAGGGGGTAAGGATGCGTGTCAGGGGGACTCAGGAGGGCCCCTTATGCACCGACAACCCGATGGCGATTTTATCAGGATGTACCAAATCGGGATTGTTTCGTATGGCCTGAGATGTGCCGAAGCCGGATATCCGGGAGTGTACACACGAGTCACGGCTTTCTTAGATTGGATTCAAAAAAATTTAAACTAAAATGTGATCAAAACTGTGAAAATACGAGTATTTAAGGATGTCAGTGCCGAAGCCTTGTCCTATTTTTCTAAAGAATGCTTTATTTACTCAACGTTCACTTTACGTGAGTGATTGTACTTATTTATGAATAAAACTTCGCCAAAATGTGCTGTGTTTCATTTCGAATCCAAGAATTTCTTGTGCAAATAGTGCCATTTTCGGAACAATGACTCATTATAGCCATTCGAAGGTCACGACTGTTGTAAGAAACCAGGTTTGAATTCTTTGTTACCTGAAAAAAATCGATTTGATAACCTTTTTACGTAATCTGAAAAAAGACTCGTTTTTTTGGTAAAACCAAATGCTAATTTATTTACAGATTTACTGTTCAGTCGCATTTCAGACAAGGTTACACCGATTTTATAACAAACGATTTATTAAATTACATCAATTATAAATTCGATCCTCCATTTTCCATTTCCGATTTTATTTCAAAGCATTTAACGTGCAATTAAATGACAATAAAATCGCTGTTTCCGCTATTTTTAAATCAAAAGTTTAAAATTTAATTAAAAAAAAATACTAAAAAGTCTCATTGATTTGATTGAAACTTGTCATGGAGCGTAAGAGTGTCCGCGACTAACGATTCGAGACATTAGTATAAAACGCAAACTTGTCAAAGTTTCCACTGACATTTGAAAAAAATTAGGATTGCCATCTGAAGGATTTTAATCACCGCCTACTCCAATTTTTTTTTTATCGCACGGTATATTAAAAAGATTACTCTCAATAAAGAACAGAATTTCAAGTATTATACATAAAAGTAAAGGTTTTTTAATTCTGCAGGCCAATACGTTGACATTTAAAAAAAATGTAATAGTTGTCCTTAAAAAAAATGCATAAATGCTGATCTTTAAAACAACGTTACTCATTATTTTTGAAGTAATCGATCTTGGTTTTGCAAGAATATTCTACAAAGTGTGTGAGAAGTCGCACCCCAGAGAAAAATTTCAAGTAAGATAAAGATACCAGGAACATGGAAAAAATGTTTTATTTTTTGACAGTTGACATTTTTTTATGTCTAATGATTTTATGAGATAATCTTGTATATGTTTTTTTTTTATAATTATTTAGTAAAGGTACAAAAATTTTTCCAATAAAAGTCACAAATAACATTATACAATTTAGGATACTGCTTTCTTGTTTTCCTCTTCTAATAGCCTGTAGCAAGAAAACTTGAAAAATTATTGTTCCAACAGAAAAATAAGTAGTCAAATTGCAAAATTTAAACTCTCATAACTCAAAAATGTTTATATATAGAATTTCTTTAAAATTTTTTCCATGTTCCTGGTACACTCAGAAAAGTTGAAAATGACGTGTCCATAAACCGACCCTCATTATTTGGGTCCTATCTAACCGCAGTTATAAACCATCTGCGAGGCGAAAGTAATAAAAATGCTTTTGCATTTAGCCTCAACATTTCTTTTAAGAAAATCTTGTCAGGTGATATTATTTTATTAATGATAGTTATTATAATTAAATGTATGTAAAGTGTGTTATACGGTGTGTTATACTGAAACGAGCAAATTTGTAATTTGTAACGTCATTATTCTGTCTCAGTGGAAAGAAAAGTAATTTTTTTCTTGATTTTGGGATTTTTCTCTGCTTTCTTAGTTCCATCATAATGGCGGTTTTCTTTTTTTGACAGAATTGTAACTTTGACAATTAATTAATTTATTATTATAATTGGTATTATCGACAAAACAATAACATTCTGAAAAGATTTGTTGCTCTCATTCATGAAAAATAATAAAACTTCAAAACATGAGATATTATTTTATTAATAATTATTATAATAAAAATTGTTCTAAATTTAAAGAATTAATTTTATTTATTTCAATAAAAGGCAAGGTACTTTACCTTTACCATAGGCCGATGCGTTGACATTTTTTTGAAAAAAATGTTTTGTGTTTGAAATATTGTGATTGATGTACAAGTCATAAGTTATTTAGCTTTTGGTATTTATTACAAAATATTAATTTTCAACTAATTCACCAAACGTTATGTAATAAAACACTGTTGTTTTCAAATTATTGATTTTGCCCTAAAATGCCTCCTAGTTCATTGCTTTTAGCGAAACTAAAACATTTTCCGTGAATTCAAGAAAACAAGCAAATTTCATTAATAGAAATAGAATTTTGGAAGGAATTTATTTTGCACCCACATTATTCACCAAATAAATAAATTTGACACGCGTTATGTTGTAACTCAAATTATTGACTGACCTACAAGAAAAATAATGTAAGTAAATTTATTATTAAAAAAAAATGCTCGCCAGAAGTGGCAACTATAACTATAAAAAAAAATCCTTGGACAGATTGTTTTTGTTTTTTTATTATCGTTGTTGTTCATTAAAAAAATGATTTGGTCCATTAGGATCTTTTTTATAAGACATGCACTTTTTGAAACTAAAAACAAAGACCTTTTAGACCTAGCTAAAAAAAAAAATGCCCCTTCAAAAAATATGAATTTTATTCCAGTCTTTTATAAATTTGATATTTAGATGTACATACGGACACGGAATTTTAGACGATTTGTCATTCGGTTGACTTAAAAATGTAAAACTAACCTTATGTGCAACTTTTTTTTTTCGATTTTTGTAGTTTTTATAGAAAAATGACAACAGATCAAAATAATGTTCAAACTATAGAAAAAACGTACTGCAACTACTGGTATTATTGTATCACAAAATCGACGCCAAAAATACATTTCAACTAAAATTTTTAAATTTTAGTTTCAAACGTCAGTCATAATGATTAATGACAATAAAGTGTGGCTTGCATTGACATTTTTTGAACTGTCATAATTTGCTGTCCAAAATTGACTGTCAATTTTTTTTAATTTATAAAATTATGTCTTGTTACCCCATATAAAAATTTAAGATAAAATCTGAGTTTAGATCCTGCCTAGGGTGTATTACTGGTTGCTTTTGGACAGTTTTGGCCAAACGGATGAATAAAAGTCGTGTCAACTGAGATTCTAGTATATTAAAGATAAAAGATACATGCGATGTAGGATTTAAAAAAATATGTCATTTCTTCTTAACATCGTGAAAGCAAATTAAATATACTCTAACGTCACACAAACAGAATATTTATTAAAAAAAGAGATAAAAAAGTACGTAAATAAATATATATCGTAGCATTAACTTAACAAGTAAAGAATTGTTTCAGTCATTTAACACTTCTAATAAGAAATCACAGAAGTGGAGTTTATCAGTCATTCCTTCTCTAGATTTCTTTCTCTTGTATCGACTAAAGGTGCTATAATCGCTGGTGACATGGCCAAAGCTGGGTTTGCTACTGCTATTATATTGTCACCGCTAGCTGCAATTACTTGAACTTTGGGCGAAAGTTTACGTGAATCTTCATCAGCGTCGTTCGAGTCGTCGATTTTATTCTAAAAAAAAACGTGAATAAAACACAAAAAACAAGAAAGTCAAGCAAAACCTGATGATTTGTTCCTGGATACGAGTCCTGATCGTGGCTATGCTATAAATAATTGACAAGTCATCATTACGTAATTTACAACTTTCGGTAAAAAACAAAAAACGTACCGTTGTTACCCTAGAAAAAACATGTACCTGTGAAGGTGAATTCGAATTACTGTAAGAAAAATGCGAATCGCCATCCTCGAAGTCCACAGCTAGAGATGATCTTCGAATGGAAATGTCCCTAAAATTCTCAGTCTGATAAAATAGGTATTACTAGAAGAGTCAAATTCGGACCTGTGAATTTTCGAATGGTTGTGAAACAAAGAGTGAAGTGAAGTTCGCATAACAACAGTTTCGTCAGAACTTGTTTCCTAGAATAAAATATATCACACAAACAATACAAGCCCATTAAAAAAAAACTACGAGAAAGGTGCCAAGCAAATGCCTTACCTCATCTTAGAAGACCTGCATGCTAAAAAAATAAACAAGCAACGTAATTAATTCTATGCATTGGTTTGGAAAAGCGAGTGAAAGCAAACTTACCCAATTATTAAAAGCTGAAAAGCAAAAGCGTTATTACCCTTAAAGACAGATAAGTAATAGACCCAACACTTTATTCCTATCGATAAATCATTTTATTGCATAAAAACACAAAGGGAAGCAAATACAAAAACCAGTTTGCTTCACTTTGCATCATTACAATGACTAGAAAAGGTGAGACTAAATACAAATGTTGTCTTCAAGCGTACAAATTAAAGCTAACTTATAAGTAAGAACATGGAAGTATCACGTGTTATTTTATGGTAAAATTTGATTTTTGTGAGTTGCCTAGACTGCTCTGGGACTCACCTGCGTCATACAAGCCATGCACTTAAAATCAGCTGCAAAGCACCGCAAAAGCAAAAGCATTAAAATCGCAAGCATTAGTGCATCCGAATTCCTAAAATTTCTTATTAATCTTCTAAATTAACAATAATGTGTGTGGTGGGTTTTTGTCTGTTTTGTTGGCTGACCTGCCGTTGCTCATCGCCATCTGAGTTCGTTTCAATTTTCGGTTTCTTAGTCAAAGGACCTTCCATATCACTAATTCGTGGACTGCATCTCACGTCTAGAATATCCTTATCTTGGCAAAGATTCTTATTCATGTACATGGTCGACAACCTAAAAAATAAAAAAAATGAAACGTCAAAACGCGCCGGTGGAAATTTCGGAAAAATTACTGCGTTTTCGAGTAATAACAGCCGGAATCTTTGACAACTTGCCGTGCTAGAGGGAAAAGTTCGTCGCGTCGAGTCAATAAAGCGGGAATAAATCGGCAAATTTGGGCCGCAGCCTCGTTTACCGACACCTCGTGGAGTGTTAAAGGCTTTTCCGGTTTTCTCTTACAGTCGAAACGGCCGTAAATGGCCGCGTAGCGCCGGATTTCGTCCATGCGCCGCGGGTCGTTCTCCGGCATCGACATCACCAACTGAAAATAAAAAAAAATAAATCAAATTCGTTACTTTTTTCTCATTTTTGGTTAAGGAATACAATTGACACAAAAAAGTGTCAAATGTCAAAATTTTTTGACAGAATTTTTTAATTTAAATTTTTAAATTTCTTTAAACTTTTTTTTCTAATTTGCGTTTATAATACGTTTATTAACGTCTCTCAGTAGGAGTCGTTTATGGCACTGTACTTTAATGAATTTAAGGTTATTTAATTTTTGTATGCCGCTTCTGACTTGTCAGGTAACAAATTTTGCGTTGTTGCTTCGGCAATTTCGCGAATTTCGGGCGGAGTGCAAACTAAATTCTGTTGGCTCTTATTTTATTTATTATTATTATTATGTTGTAACACTAATAATTAATAATTTGTAAATATTATTTTTAATGACAGACGGCAGAAATGATTCAAAAAATCAGGTGGGCGCCGAGTGTTACCAACCGATACCAACTAACACAAAATTCTCTAGACGACAAAAATATATTTTTCTTTAATTAAAATAAGAAAAAAGGGGGCGCAAATTAGAAAAAATAGCATAAAATACTCGTTTTATAATGGCATTGGCGCACTCATCATTCACTCATTCTTTAACACAATATTTCATATTTTTGGTCAGTATAAATAGTCATTTTATGGGCAAAAATCGCTAGAATTTGATTAAATTAAAAAATTCAGTACGATGTGTCCAAAAGGGGTCATTTTTGCCGCGAGTGTTGCAAAACCTTGTGCCAGTCCCGATTCGGCATAATTTTAATTGTAAATGCATCGTTCAAGGCTGTTTTTCTCACCTCTAGCTCTTTGCAGACTTTTTTCTTCGTGTTGTGTGCTTTTGGTTCAAATTGGGGCAAGTGTTTGCTCAGTCTTTCAGCAGCAGCTGCTAATTTGGCAATTTGTGAGTCGACCAAAGTGGGGGTTGTTTGCGACATGCTACTGCCAGGACTCGAACTAGAAGAAGGAGGACAGGAAGGGTCTAGTGGTGAATAAGGCCTAAAACAGACAAAATGATTTGAGGAATAAATCGAAATGATTATTTGCCTTTTGTTTAGAGTAAGTCCGGGGCTGGCGATGGGGGGTAAGGCACAAACGTCGCCAGGAGAGGGCGAGTAAATCGTTCGACAGTTATCCCCGCTGTCCACTGAGTAAAACCCGTGGTTACTGGTTACTCGAGGGCTGGATAACTCGACTTCGAAGTCTTCTCCTGGCACTAAGGGTAATTTGAACTTGGTGGGGTTGGTCACCCATTCTTGTAAAGATTTCTGCAATCTTCTAACATGGAGCGGTTTCGACGCCATTCCCACCAGTGACATTATTTCTAAAAATTCCTCCTCGCCAGCGTCGCATAATTGTTGGACGTCATCGCCGCCCATTTCAAGAAGTGTGTCGTAGTACACCAACAACGAGGCATTTTGCATCACCCTGTATAATTGCAGTTCGGCTAAATTCGTTGGGTACGAAGTTTGAAATACTGAAAAAGAAGTGAAGCAATTACTAGAAGCAAAAAATTCGAAAATAATACCGACATACGATGGATGGAATGTGTGATTGATTGCACTCAAACTATGAAGATTGGTCAATAATTCTTTATTGGAAACAGGAATTGCTTGCAACCGACATAAAATATGCCATTTAAATAAATTCACAAAAACTAGTTTACATTTTTTATTTCATTTGCATAATAGACATAATTCGGGATTAAAAACTCAAATAAAGAGTACATCTTCAAGGTTACCCTCAAAACTTCCATTTCTCAGTGTTGCCAATCGAATTTCACAAATTTATTCCTCTTATTATTATTACTATTACCTACACTGTTCAAGTTTATCGTATTTTATTCAAATAAATTCTTAAAATAGTAGTCTGCGGAATATACAGGTGCGCCAGAACTCGCGCCCCAGAGAAAAATAAGGTAAGATGCAAGAAAGATGGAAAAAATGATAAAAAAAACTCTATCTATAAAAATTGCGATGTTATAAGAGTTTAAATTTTGCACTTTGACTCTACTTATTTCTGTTGGAACAATAATTTTTCAAGTTTTTTTGCTACACCTGTAATAACCTTATTATAAGAGAGAACAATGAAGCTGTATCCTAAATTGTATCTCTGTTTAATGTTATTTGTGGCTTTTATTGGCAAAATTTTTGTACCTTTACTAAATAATTATAAAAAAACATATACAAGATCAGTATCATAAAATAGAAATTTAAAAAAATGTCAAATGTCAAAAAATAAATGTCAAATTTTTTTGACAGATACAATTTTTTAAACATTTTTTTCATGTTCCTAGTATCTTATCTTACATGAAATTTTTCTCTGGGGCGCGAGTTCTGGCGCTCCCGGTATAGCCACAAAAATCGGAAAAAACATACTATTTTTTTCTTTAAACTTTACGAATTGATTGAAGCTTCTTATTGCTTTTTATTAATTATTATTTATTAGTGATATTACATTTTGAGAGTTTTCTAAGTATTTTTCAATATTTTTGGTAATTTTTCGTATTGAAGTTGAATTCCTTTTAGCTTTCTGAAGATATCGCAATATTCGATAAAAATAAATAATAGTTTTGTTAAAAAAAAATCTTGGTTTGACTTCCAAATGTCGCTTTTATTACTAGACACTAAAAATCTTTTCAGACTAACTTCATTTCAAGTCACAAAATATGTCACTTTTTTGACGTTTGAAGAAAAAAAAAAACGTTTATAGAGAATTTTCAAGCATCTTTTCAATTATTTTAATAAGAATTAGTTGTATTTAAACAATTTATAAAGAACGTTTACTGTCAGTAGAAAAAATATACACTTTTTCAGTAATTCTGTTACTACACAATCCATTACTCCTTCAAAAGTTAGTAGTTAATATCCAAATAAAAGTTTTCATGTAGAAGTGCAGAAAAACAAAAAATGTTAATAGAAAGCGTTTGTTTGAATAATTTTGGAAATTAAAACACACTAATTGTTCCTTAAAATTTAAAGTTTAAATTAAATTCCCCTTAAATTTGAATTTACTAAATTAAAAAATATTGAAATATTTATATTTTAGAGCTACGCAGGGTGTGCCATGTAAGGTAAGATACCAGAAACAAAAATTTAGAAGTTATGAGAGTTTAAATTTTGCACTTTGACTATTTATTTTTGTTAAAAAAATAATTCTCCAAGTTTTTTTGCTACAGGCTATTAGAAGAGGAAACAAGGAAGCTGTATCCTAAATTGAACTCTGTTTAATGTTATTTATTTTATTGACAAAATTTTTGTATCTTTACTAAATAATTATAAAAAAACATTCAATATCATTAAATAGACATAAAAAATGTCAAATGTCAATTTTTTTTGACAGATTGAATTTTTTTAACATTTTTTTCATATTTCTGGTATCTTACTTACTTGAAATGTTTCTCTGGAACGCAAGTTCTGACACACCCTGTATAAAGTTTAGGTATACAATAAGATAAAATGAAAAATATGATGATCACTTAGTTAAAACACTGTACAACAAAAAGCATAAAAAATATATCGAACGATAGAGTAGAATCTTGTTTTCGAACATTGAGAATCGACTTTTCTTAAAAATGCTACACAAATTGCAAAAAAAGAAAACGAAAAATTTTCTTCAGAACTCATTCTACGTAAAATATTTTCCATTATTTCTTTTTGTAAAACTTTAAATGCCTTTATGCCGATTTGTAATTCTGACACTCAATTCTAATTTTTTGCCTCATATTATAAAAAATACCCCGAGTTACCATAGTCAATGTGGCTTTGATTAATTATTATCAAATATGATTAAAAACTTATAATTTACACATTAACATAATGATAATAATAAATAGCGATTTATAAAACAAGTTGATTTTTAATTTGCCTTTAACATAAATAAATTTGTAATTTATTTTTTTCCCAATTTTCGTTATTAGTCAGAAATGTCACTCTGGGAATATATTTTCATATTATTCGAATTGAAATAAACAAGTTGGTTATTATACCATAATGAAGTCTTCATTAAATATTTTTATACGTAGTTTGAAAAGAAAAAAAGCCGGTAAAAAATGCGTAATGACGATAATAACAAAATAATTAAGAAAAAATTGTTTGAATACATGTACTGCACAAAAAAGTTCAAAAAACTTGTTCCACGTAATGACACTTTTTGTTATTAAATTTAGCAAACGTGAAGATAATTTTAACGAGCAAAAAATTGGAATCGCCCAAAAAATGAAAAAACTCATCCCTGACCTGCACTTTTATCGATTCTTCAATTGTCGTTGCATTCGCCGTGTCTGCAAGTCTGTTTGGGTGATTTTTTTTTGGACATGCGCACTCCCTGGATGTTTTTTAATAAAAGACGCAAGACGTTTTCGCAAGAAACAGCCCCGATTCCGATGGCGGAAAAAATCCGGTCAATACTTTCCCATCCCTTAAAAAAAGTCATCAAAGGATTGCGTTTTTTTCTCGAAGGGTTGAAGATTTGGCTTAGGCGATAGGGCCACTTCATTTATCGTGTGAACGCGATAAAAAATCACGCATGTCAGTCTGTTTAATATTCAAGAACACGGTATGTCAACATACGAAGGGCATACGCTATTTGAATATCCTACAAAGGAGCACCCGCACCATAAAAACCGCCAGGTACATCTTTACGGGCCTTTTGTTTTTTTTTCGGACCTTGTCTAAGTCCGGACCCTTTCTCACACTGGCGGGCAGTTTTTTACGCGGACAAAAAATATTCAGATTTAATTATATGCGCGTAAGTGCCCAGGTAAAATTTGGGACAGTGTTGCAATCTAAGCCGAATTTAATTGACACACCAAAAAAATTAAACCCTGACTTTGAATAAAATTGCGCGAAATTATGTGAAAGTGAAGCGTTTCTTGTGCCCTAAACTGCTGAAACCGGAAATGAAGCTTGAAATTCACACTTGAATATAGGTTTTTGGAAGGGTCATTGACTTTCTGACATAAAAATATTGCACACGATATTATTTTATCACGAAAATTGGAGGTAATGTAGCGTGTGTTTCTTTGAAGTACAATAAAAAGCAGTGTATTTTGTTTTGGTTGGTTTATGTAACGTCACGTGATCCTACATAGAAATGCCAGAATGGCGTTTTTAATTAAGAAAATTACAAAAATGGCTTCACGAATGCACTGAGACGACAATTTTTATCTAAATTATGATATTAAACAATTGAAAATTTCTCAGTAATTACAAAACCAAAATAATGTTTTACTATTTTTGCGCTAATAACATGCAAAAACAATAAAGATAAACTTGTCTGTTTATTGCATATGCATGTTAGAAATGTTCACACTTCAAAATAATAGAAAACAATAATTTGCAGTTCACCTATCCAAAATAAGAAACTTCACTTCAAAATTTGAATTATGGCTTTCAGTAACTGTTTTTTATTAAATTAGACAGTAATTTGTGTACAGGGTGTTTTATAAAAACACAAAAATTGCTAAGTAAAATAAGAAACGAGAAACATTAAAACATTTTTTTTAGATCTGTCAAAAAAATTTGACATTAATTTTTTGACATTTGACATTTTTCTATGTCCTGAATAGGTATGTTTTTTCACATTATTCACTAAAGGTACAAAAACTTTGTCAATAAAAGCTACAAATAACGTTAAACATAGTATATTGTTTCCTCTTCTAACAGCCTGTAGCAAAAGAACATGTAAAATTATTTTTACAACAGAGATAAAGAGTCAAAGTGGAAAATTTAAATTCTCATTACTTCGAAATTTTTATAGATAGAATTTTTTTAATATTTCCTGGTTTCTTATTTTGCTTGGCATTTTTCTTTTTTGTGTTTTTATAAAACGCCTGTATATTTTAGGAAATATTTTTTCTCTAATTAACACACTTTAACAAATATGCAGGGTGCGCCAGAACTCGCGCCCCAGAAAAAAATTTCAAGTAAGATAAGATACCAGGAACATGGAAAAAATGTTCTATCTGTCAAAAAATTTTGACATTTGTTTATGTCTATTTAACGATACTGATGTTCTTGTATATGTTTTTTTTTAGAATTATTTAGTAAAGGTACAAAAATTTTGCCTATAAAAGCTACAAATAACATTAAAAAGAGTTAGAATTTAGGATACAGCTTCCTTGATTTCCCTTCTAATAACCTGTAGCAAAAAAATTGGAAAATTACTTTTCCAACAGTCAAATTGCAAAATTTTAAACTCTCATAACTTCGAAATTTTTATAGATAAATTTTTTTTAACATTTTTTCCATGTTCCCGGTATCTTACTACCTTATATGGCATTTTTCTCTGGGGCGCGAGTTCTGGCGCACCCTGTATACGTACTTGCACAGTTTTTTTTAAATTTTGATACACTAATAATAAGGGTCATTAAGTTAATTGCAATCAAACGTCAGATAAATGATCACGTGACCAGTTGGACCAACCAGATGCTCAGATTCGCGCATTAATTTTTGATACCGAATTGATTTTTTATTAAGACGAACTAAAAATTAATTAATTAGTTGTTAAAAGTTAATGTGCGATTAACCCTGATGAGCATCTAGTTGGTTCAATTTGGTCACGTGATTAGTTAATCTGACGTTTGATTGCAATTTATTTCATGACGCTTCTACAAACCGACCCTAAGTAAAAAAAATCGACCGTAACAAGAAAATGTAATTAAATTTCTAATCAAATAAGTACCCTATGACTTTGAAAATAAGTTGGCAATAGTGAAAAACACAAAGAAGGAAGCATATCTTTTGTCGCTAATTATTATTATTAATGTTTCGAATAATTTAATTTAATTTAATTTAATACATACTTCTAGTGAAATTTGTTTTGTAGTTCTTAAAATAATAATACACACAAAAATTAACAATTTTTGACATAATCTTGAAATATTTTCCACAATATGTATTTTAAATTTTCTTACTTTAATGGTTTTATTAAAAAAACAGTTCTGTGGTAATTGTATTTATTTACGTATTTCTAAATTAATTCATACGAAGTATGAACTTAATCTACTAAAAGTTTTTCTTAACCCATGTTAAAATGCTTCAGATTTAAAACTTATAATAAAATAACAAAAACTGTCGTTTCGTTTTTCATAAATATAGAAAAATTTATTTATAACTTATTATGTCAAAAAATGTAGCTGCAACGTTGCCATTTTGATTAACACTAATGAGTACACCTCGTGCCATTTCAATCGCTACACTGGCAACGTCGCAACTGTGTTTTTTGAGGTAAAATAGGTCACAAAAATTTGATTTCGGAACAAAACGTAACAAATTTAGAGCCAAAATTTCACACAGAAAAACATTATGAAAAGTGACGGAATGGCGATTGAAATGAGCAAAGAAGTTAATTTGCAATCGATATATAAAATGACTTAAAAATGCAAATCTTTCTTGGTGTTGCATTTTGAATGTCGCTGAGTATAAATGAGTAAACGGTCGAAACAGAAATAGGTTTTTTGTGTCCATGTCAAAAAACTTGAACTACTTGATTTTACATCAGACGCATAAAAAGCAAATTTATATCTACTTATAAAGATGGTCATTAGAAAAAACGATGCATTCCTAATGGTGCTATGAAATAATTTTCAATTTTTTTTAAATTGTATACATGTTAACCTTTAAAAGTAATTAGTTTTTTATGTTTTACATAACAAATCTAAAATATGGACTGGTAGAAAAACAACAAAAAAATAACAAGTTTTTATTTTCGATTACTACAGCACGTTTTTTAAGCGACATAATAGTTGTTCTAAGCGTTGCCTCCTAACAAACATTTTTTTATCGAAATACCGCAACTGTGATTTAATCTGAATAAGAAATTTATAATAAACACTGTTCAATTTTCTCATGACCTTTAAAAACTATCAGGTAAAGACAAAGCATAAAAAAATTTCCCATCATTACTCGCACTCGTATTCAAAAAGGGTGAGCTTTTTTGCCATGTTGAAAAAAGCTTCCTCTCAACCTTGAGGAACCAAACCCACCCTAAGCCCCGACCAATCGCAGCGCGGCACCGAGGGGGCATTTGCTAAATTATTCCAATGGCAAACACGCCCCAGAAACCCTAACGGTACTTTTCGTAATTCGGGTGCCATATTGTCATCTACCGCGAATTACGCCAAACCGAACGATTTTTCGTCGAAAGGTCACTTGCCATTCGGGTCAAACATGCAGATATTTCAACAGATTTAGCATTTTTTACACCCGTTCAAATGTAACGATTTAGTTCTTATAGTAAACTGTCATTGTAATTGTTTAAGCTACACAACTATCGGTATTTGGCAAAAAACTACAGGTAAGATCGAGTTAACTCACACAAAAACTGTCTTGTTCTGGCATGGCGACTGAGATGTACACTCGGAGACCGTATTTTTGCACGCCACAAACACAAAACAAACTCACTACTCACCGACAACAATTGTTTTACTCCCACAACGGCTTTTCCACTCACACCAATGCAAATTTGCCCAATTTTGTCATTTCCCACTCAAAAAATTGTTTCATATTTTAAACATTAGATTTCTGGTCAAAAAAATATTTGTAATCGAGTCAACTTTGAATCTATGTGAAACGTCAAATAAAATGACAAGTCGAAAGGTAAAAAAAATATGATTTTAATAACTAAATTTATGATTTACCTTCAAAAAGGACCGTTAACGGTTCTATTTTATACGCCAGCGACTAATTCCAGCCCACTTTGCGGTTTTATTTTTCGACTTGTCATTTTATTTGACGTTTCAGGTGCACCAAAGATGACTTGATTACAAATATACCTACCTAAATTCAATGTTGCTAAGTCAAGTCACTGGTCACTTTGTTGATTAAATAAAGTAATGAAACAATGGATTTTATTTTATTCTCCATTTTTTAAAAACAATAAAAAGTAAAAAAATGTACAAAGTCTTAGTTATTATGCGATCTAGCATTCAAATTTTCGTATTTGATCCAATCAAAAAAATACAAACAAGCGGATACAATAACAAAGTTATTGTTGTGAAAATACAAAGATAAAATTACATAAACTAACAACAGTTTACTGATGCGAGAGAATTTTATTTCATTTACAAATCTACTTTGTATTTATTAAAACAACTTAGTAGTAAGTAAAAACAAATAAAAAACAATATTTCAAAAATTTCGTTTAGATTAAAATTTTCTTGGTCGTTAAGACGAAAACACAAATTAAATTTCAAAATTTGCGCAATTGAAATAAAAAAATATTCATTGTTGAGATAAGAACAAGGCAATAAAACGACAATGAAAAATGCAAATTTCTTGTAACTGTGATGACCTTTCTGTTAATTTTATTTAACACATGTTTAGTTTTGAGGCATTGACAACGAAGTGGTTAGAGAAACCCTGTACACCGTTAATTTTACAAAATATTCAGTGGCGGCAAAATAGACTTTTAAATTTTAGATTATCTGTCAATGAGATTATTTGTAATGTCAAATTTCCATAGCCTTCTAAAATTGGTTAGTGGGTGGTAGAAAAATTAATGTGGATGTATCAAAAGTACGAAAAGTAAAATTTCAAAATTTGCGCAACTGAAATAAAAAAATATTCATTATTGTGATAAGAACAAGTCAAATAAGACGACAATGAAAAATGCAAATTTCTTGTAACTGTAGATGACCTTTCTGTTAATTTTATTTAACACATATTTTTATTTTTGAGGTATTGACAACAAAGTGGGTAGAGACACCCTGTACACCGTTAATTTTGCAAAATATTCAGTGGCGGCAAAATAGACTTTTAAATTTTAGATTATCTGTCAATGAGGTTATTTGTAATGTCAAATTTCCATGGTCAGCTAAAATTGGTTAGTGGGTAGTTGAAAAATTAATTTGGATGTATCAAAATGACGAAAAAATAAAACAATTTAAAATTTCAAAATTTGCGCAATTGAAATAAAAAAAATATTCATTATTGTGATAAGAACAAGTCAAATAAAACAACAATGAAAAATGCAAATTTCTTGTAACTGTAGATGACCTTTCTGTTAATTTTATTTAACACATTTTTATTTTTGAGGTATTGACAACAAAGTAGTAGACACCCTGTACACCGTTAATTTTGCAAATTATTCAGTGGCGGCAAAGTAGACTTTTAAATTTTAGATTATGTGTCAATGAGGTTATTTGAAATGTCAAATTTCCATGGCTGGCTAAATTTGGTTAATGGATGAAAAATTCGTTAATTTTGACGGATTAAAATGAGTGTTCGAGACTTGTTACATTACATTACAAAGCCTCGCTCGCTGGTATGAAATCAGTCAGAGCCGTCTCGCATGAAAAACTGTCTTTTGGATTTTTTCTCAATAAGTTTTTTGTGTGGCAGCAGTGAACTCGTTGTGGACTAGTTTTTACCCAAAAATTTTTCAACCTTCACGAGCGAAAAAACTAAATTATCGATTTGAGACCGCTCCGAAATTGAATCTGGAATTCGTTGAGAAAAAAATTGTCTCTAATGGGAAAAAAGCGCCGAATATTAGATCGCTCATCATATTGATGGGAAACGTTCCGCTCGCTGATCAATGGAATGCGCGAAAAAACAATTAAAACAGTAAATTTTTGGCGCCAAAAATTCGAATTTAGTGAAAATTTCCAATTCGCGAATTACTTGTGTTGTTGTGATTTCTGCTGATGATCTTCCGCGGGAGCGACGGCGAGGTGGAGTTCCTGTGTGCTGGTAGGTTCGGCGTCGGCGTCGGGACGCACACTTTCGGTGACTGTCTCGCATTAACACAGTTCCCGGAAAGCGGCCCGGAAGCGGCGCCGGCGGGTTCAACACTCGCCCTGCCGTCCTCGTTGATATTCGTCGAGTCCATTTCACACACCATCAAATATTTATGTTTAACATAAAACGGGGAAAACTAAATGAGGTAGAGTTTGTGCAGATTGCAACTTCCGAACCGTCCGAACACAACTGCAGTAAACCTGGCGATTTAGTTTATTTTTCTCCCTCTCCGATAGTGTGAGAGCGCGGCCCTCGTCCCCACTACAAACTCGCCGGGGCATAGGAGCCGGCTCTGGGTGCAGCAGGGATCGCGACAGGACGAAAACACCCCAAACGGCCTACCCCACCAAGCATCCACCTTATAACACCACAAATATTTTATTTATTCGCTTACCTACAACCTCACAAATTTCTTCCTGATCCTTGAAAACAAAAAAACACAACAACTATTCAAAATTAAGTCACTCAGACCATAAAATACGGAAAAAAATCCATGGCAACAGACTGTGAAACTTGAAAAATAAGTTTACAAATAATAAAAAAACAAATAAAAAATAATGTCATTTCATAAACAACTTTCTTTCAAATAACCCACAAAATCGGTGTTACGAAAACAAAAATCAACAAAAAATTATTAAAAATTAAAAAAATCGTGTCAAAAAAACATTTTAAGAAATAACAAAGAGAGTAATTTTTATTAAAAAAAAAACAAAAGTCGAGTTAGGTTATTAAAAAATACAGGTGCACCAGAACTGGTCCCCAGAGAAAAATGCGAGGTAAGGTAAAATACCAGGAACTGAAAAAATATAAAAATTTTGATTTTTCTGTTGGAAAAATAATTTTCAAAGTTTTTTTGCTACAAGCTATTAGAAGAGAAAACAAGGAAACTATAATCTAAATTATAACTCTGTTTAATGTTATTTGTGGCTTCTATTGGTACCTTTATTGAAAAATAAGTTTATAAATAATAAAAAATAATGTCATTTCATTAGCAACTTACTTTCAAATAACCCACAAAATCGGTGTTACGATAACAAAAATCAACAAAAAATTATTAAAACTTAAAAAAATCATGACAAAAAACCATTTTAAGAAATAACAAAAACAAAAGTCGAGTTAGGTTATTAAAAAATACAGGTGTACCAGAACTGGCCCCCAGAGAAAATGCGAGGTAAGGTAAAATACCAGGAACTGGAAAAATATAAAACTTTTGATTTTCCTGTTGGAAAAATAGTTTTCAAAGTTTTTTTGCAAAAAGCTAATAGAAGAGAAAACAAGGAAACTGTATCCGAAATTATAACTCTGTTTAATGTTATTTGTGGCTTTTATTGGTACCTTTATTGTAAAATAAGATTATAAATAATAAAAAACAAATAAAAAATAATGTTATTTCATAAACTTTTTTTCAAATAACCCACAAAATCGGTGTTACGTAAACAAAAAGCAACAAAAAATTATTAAAAATGAAAAAAATTATGTCAAAGAACCTCGAAACAAAAGACATTTTGATCGTGTTATACATTCACATTTTAAGAAATAACAAAGACGGTAATTTTTATTAAAAAAAAAACAAAAGTAGAGTTAGTTTATTAAAAAATACAGGGTGCGCGAGAACTCGCGCCCCGGAGAAAAATGCTAGGTATGGTAAAATACCTGGAAAAATAATTTTCAAAGTTTTTTTGCTACAAGCTATTAGAAGAGAAAACAAGGAAACTGTATCCTAAATTATAACTCTGTTTAATGTTATTTGTGGCTTTTATTGGTACCTTATAAAAAAAACAAACAAGATCATCAGTGTTATTAAATAGACATAAAAAACGTCAAATGTCAAAACATAAATGTCAAAATTTTTTGACTAATTTATTTCCTGGTCTCTTATCTTACTTGAATTTTTTCTCTGGAGCGCAAGTTTTGGCACAGCCTGTATGTTGTGAAAAAAATTCTTTTAAAAACAGCTTAGAAGAATAACGTTCGTTGGAAGTTAATATCTTTTTTACTATTTTTTTAATTAGAAACACTCTGTATATCTAAAATTGTGCTCTGAGTCCAATTAAAAAATGTAAATTGCCAGTTTTACGACCCCTGCGCTCACTCGTATTTTTGTTAAACCAATTAAATAAATTTACATCACATCACAGTTTAAGATTTTGGGGAGTAAAACTGGTACTGTTCCCCTTCTAAATTCGGTGTGGAAAAAAAACTGAATCTTTTCTAATTACGTGACGGCTTCATCTCATACGTATTGGACAATTTTTTAATTAAAAAAAAACACCTACGATAGTAGAAAAGTGCGCATTTAGAATAGTTTTTTCACAACGACTACAAGGTTAAAGTAATTTTTTGCGACGGATTTATTAATTTACTAATTATTAGTCAAGCAAAGCTGACAAAAAGCGATTTTTTTCTGTTCTGGCCGTAAAATTTGAATTTTTACATAAGATTTTTGTGAAAAAATAAATTTCGAAATAAAATAATTTACTAAAACCTACGTTGGTTTAGCATTGAGACATGTTTTTTGTTTAATTTTCGAATTAATAAACAGATACGTGCATAATTATAGTACATAAATTAGAAATTACAAAAAATTAATGTTGTTTTTATTTAAAATAAGGTTATAAAAATTGGAAATGTGTTATAAGTAGTGATGCGAGTCTAGGAACGGTTAGCCATTTTTTTGATCCACCCTTTATGTGAGCTGGCTTGTCTAGCAAAGGGTTGGTGTAACAGACAAGTCTAATTGAAACGGTTAACATTAGAACAATAAACATTTTAATTTAAAATATTATACCAACAAAAATAAATACAAGTTTTGTGTATTTATGTTATGTAAAATTGTCAATAAAAAGAAGAAAAAACTCAACAAAAAATTATTTCCGTACAAATAAAATCAGGTTTTTATTTAAAACTTTGCTTCAAAACTTTGCTTAAATTTCTTCAGCGAGTATTAAAAATTGAATAGTTGAATGCATGGTCTTAGCAACCCTAAAATAAAAGCAAGGGTCAATAGACTAAAGAATGGATCTCATACGAGATCATAAAATGACCGGTTAAGTTCCCCCCATATGTAAATTGTAAAGAAAAAAACGCTCTATCCCTGTCTTTCCTCTTCTCCAAGATTATACCTGTGCCTTGTCCAGTGGTAGCAGAGGCGATTTTTTGTTACTATTCACCTCAGCTTTTCATATCTAAAGGGTTAAATAAAAAAAAGAGAAAAAAGTCATTTTATATTTGGTGAGAGCGTACAACCCGGTTAATGTATTCAGGGATGTGCCCAGTTTATGATTTTTTTCAACATGCTCATACGCTTTTTTCAGTGGGAATCGTTTTTCATTGTCTTGAGAACACTGACACAAACGAGCTCATCAAAATCGAAACAAAAAATCAGAAACCCTCGATTCACGAGTTCAAACGCGATTTTCTCGTCAAAACTGGAGTACCGATGTGCTGGTTTAATTCCACGATTAGATTAATTGTAAAAAATTTCCCTGGTAATATGTGAATGCGACGAGGAGACGTGACAACGCCGCACTCAACTCGGAGGGTTCCAGAGGTGTATAACTGGTTGCCTACCCAATCAAAGTATCCCCTAGTTCTGTGGCTCGGGCAGGGGTGAACAAAATAGTCCCATATAAATGAATAATAATTTAAGATAATAAAAATCACAAAAATTATGTTAATTAGTTAATTAAAACCTGGAATAGAACATTGTAGAAAAGTACCAAAAATATGCGAAATTTTTTAAGATCGCATTAAATTTTTTTTTGACTGTCTTTTAAAAAACATTAAAAGAATAACATTTGTATTAATTAATTAAAAACATGTAAATTTGTGTAAAGCGTGCAAACCGTTATGATTAAAACAATCGAAAGTTTTGGTTTTGAATCATTTATAGCGTTTTAAATAAATAAAAGTGAATAAACTCCCGGTGTATAAAAATTATTTATGAGTTTATGCAATATTTAATGTTTTTGCACTCAAATTTTAGATAATTTCGAAGGTTTTGTAAACCAGTCTCGTGTCTAATAGAACAGGATTGGCAGGTTTACCTCAAAAATGAAAACTGTAAATTTCCATAATGTAATAACAAAAAATATTGCAAAAACGTTGCTCCGTGAAGCGTTTCTTGTTACGGTTTTACAAAAACTACAGTTTAGTAATAAAATGTGTTAACAGTTTTGGGCCCTATTTTGGGGTGTGCGGCCCTGGTAGCGGTGCGCATGCCACGCATGTCCGTTAACTTTCAATTTCATTTCACAAAATTCACATGACATTGCACGTTTGTTATTACGTTTTATCTGTTTTTTTTGTTTGCAATTAACTAACTAAAAGTACAAAAACAATGACCTTTGGCTATTATGAGTGGGCCCGATGTGGATGAGGTGCTAAATTACTTATCAATAAAATTCAACAAAATCTTCTGTGATCGTGAGTTCGTCTGTTGTGTAATTGAAGACTTCCAGACAATTTTGGAGAATAAGGCCCGAATTTGGTGAGTCTGAAAGTCAAATGCATTGTTCTATAGCATGCGGAAAAGGAATGTAATGCAGAGAAAGAGAAAGTCCAGTGATCTCACCAGTTATGTAAAACTTTGAATTTTACTTTCATTTACTTTCAGTGTCCTCGTCTTCCCAACGTTGGGGCCAATCTATCTAAAAGCTCTTCGCTACCAAGCGAGGATATTCGATTTAGCTGTCTTCAATATAACTTCAGCCTCTGGCAAGTTCAGGTCGATTGCAGTATGTCATAAGGACCATTTGTAAGTCCTAATCTACGCATCAACAAGTTACTGAATTATTTTTTCAGAAAGAAGCAAAACAAAGAAGAAATCATGCCGGAATCGTCCAAACGCAAACGTCCAGAACGACAACTCTACGTACCCCCAGCGCAGCGAGCGTCCCGTTTGAGCAAAAGTGACAAAAAAGTGACAGAACCCGGGCATAAATCGACAAGAAATGATCCAAGTGCAATCAGTGACGAGTGTTTGTTAAATCTGAGTGATGTGCTGAATTTGTTGTATTTTTTTAACCCCATTTTGTGCAATTTTCGAAACTTGACTAAATCGCGTTACCAACATACGAACTGCCAATTCAAAAAATTACTAAATTTTCAAAAATTTGCCGCCTTCAGGTATCACAATTTTATCAAAATTTATCAACTGTTTTTGAGTGACGTCTATTGGGATTTAAACCAACTCCAGTGCACAAATCCACGCCGCGATGGGTATTTTCAAACTTACCCAATTTATGATTTTGATGATTTTCAAGCCCAAGCTGAGAAACCTTCAGTAAGTCGTGTTAAGAGTCAAATTTTTTTAATACACATTTTTAGGCTGTTTTAGTCAATCAAGAAGCGAATGATTTTGCCCAAATCGTAAACGGATTGCCTGAAGTCGAAAATAATTTGTACAAAATAGAGTGTGATAATGATTGCGATTCTGGAAATTGCATTGTTGATTTATCAGTGATTAAATTAGGACATTTCTTCATTATTTCAATGGAAAATGGTGATTATTTTTACGAGTGCCAAGAACAGCACGATCCAACTATTTGCGTAAGTTTTTCAGATCAAAGTGAACGCACGGATTAATTACCGATTTGAAAGTATTTCCGCATCTAAAAGTGCATTCCATTGTAATAACAGTTTTTGAAAGTCTTGCATCCTCAATTACTTTAAAGGAAGTTCTCAAGATTTGTTTCAATTCGCGATAAAGCTATTTTTAAACCATAACTTTCACTCGTATCAACTAATCTACATAACAGATTGCTAATTATTAACCAACATTTATATCATTAGCTTGACAATAATATTACACAACTCTCATGGCACGCATGTTGCGTAATTTTTTACTTTTTTTGTTCCGGTTTTTAACCGGAAGTGCAGTTACACTTTCTATCACAAGATAGTGATTATTGTTTACAAGAAAACAGTCGTTTTAAATTAAAGTTTGTCATAACGGGTCGGTGACCCCAAATTCTCAAATTTCGATCAATAAAAAAATCTATTTTTAGTAAATTCCGATGCACTTAATTGGCTTTTTTAATCCATATCCGAAGTTAGAAAGTTCGGTTATTGGAAGTCATTCACGCTGATTACAAAATAACAACAAGATTATAAAATTTCACTGCTACAATATTAGATTTCCATTCGATGAAAGTGATACGCGGTTTTAACAATATCGAAACATTGGTTTTTCTCTTTGAAGCTTATTTCGACCAAAACCAATGCTTTAATGAGCCATTTCAACACCAATTCGGGTGCTAGAGTAGTACAATTTACTTTGAGCGATGTTGGAGTTAATTCATGAAAAATATTCGATACTTGACACTTCGAAAATCGAATTTTTCACACTTGTGACATTTACTACCAACTGCCACCTTATTAGGGCAAAAGTTTCTAAATTTTGAAAAATTTACTTTTATGTTAAAATAGAAAAAATAGCATAAAAAACTTGCTTCATTTGTCGTTCTTTAATATACTATAAGACAGTTTTTCTTTTAGTGTGGGAATGTTAGAAACCAGTTGGAAACTAGTAAAAAATTAGAGAAATTAAATATAAGTGCAATAAAGAGCGAAAATGAAACGAATAAAAACGGAACACCAAAAAGCAACAAAGACGTTATCAAAAATCAGATAAACATGAATAAGAAGAAAGTGTCGGATAATACTCATGAACAGGAGAAGGAGATTATGCGAATGACTAAGGAGTACATTAATCGGAAGACTCGGCCTATTATGAAATACGTGGATGACTCTAATGACACATTACGGATTGATAAGAACGATAGTGTCAATAATTGGGAGGACCTGTTTGACGATAACGGTCAAATTCAGGAAGAACTACTGACTGAAGTAATTTTCGTATATGAAATTGGACTCAATACGTTTGATTTTCCCTTCTAGATTGTCGATAAGGTCGGTGATGATATAACAATAGTGAAAGCCAGTGAAGACTACACGGCGTACACAAATAAGCCACCGGAAGAGCTGGAACACGTAGTCGAACTTTACAACTTTCCTGCAACTCTCGAAACCCACGATTTGGTCCAGGCTTTCAGCGAGATTAACAGCGATGCGATGTACATAAAATGGGTGGATGATACTCACGCTTTGCTAGTTTTAGGTTCTCTCAGTCAAGGTATTTGAAATAGAGGGATGACTTTTGAGTGATTGCTGGTTTTTAGCTCAAAAAGCGGTGAATATGCGAAATCCTTTGATTAAAGTTCGTCCAATGACTGCAGCGAGCGCTATATCAATGGATGTTGCAAACAAGTCGGATCTAAAACCGGCCATGAAACGTCCACCAACTAACTTACAGACTGCTAGGAGATTAATTACGACTCATTTAGGTACCAAAAGTAAATTAACTAAAGAGCAAATTGCGAAAGAAAAACAGGATTTGAAAAATGCCAGAGGTAGGTTGACGACTCCAGGGGATGCAATCGCTGATTGGTTTGTTGTAGAAATGAAAAGGTTGCTCAAACAAAACGAAAAAGACGCCTGGGAGGGCAAGTTGCGATCGTCAGTCAACTAGGATAAGTTATGTGATTTGTGCCTTATCTGTGTACCTAGAGAGTCAAATTTTAGTCATTTTTTATAGTTCTTTGGTTACCAAGTTAGTAGGTAATAGAAGAGATACATGTCTTCATTTATTTATTGTTTTGTACTCTTTTTTACTTCCTATACAAATAAGCGAAGTTTTAGGAAGTGACCTTAATATTTTATTTTGTGATATTCAAGATTTTAGAAAAATATTGTCTATGTCTATAGATTTGTGAACATCTCAGGATCGTGATTTGATTATGTGTTTTTTGAAACTGAATATATTTTATTTACTCTTATTTGGGTTTTATCAATTTCCTCTTTAAAACACAATACGCACGATATATCTAATTCAACAGACTAAATAGAACTCAAACAAGTCAGAGGTATTATGGAATAAAATAATAAAGTTCTTTAATATGCCTACAAAATTTCAATGTGTTGTACAAAAATTTCAAATAAGATAAAATACCAGGAACATGGAAAAAAGTTTAAAAAATTCTATGTCAAAAATTTTGACATTTATTTTTTGACATTTGACATTTTATGTCTATTTAATGATATTGATGATCTTGTATATGTTTTTTATAATTATTTAGTAAAGGTAGGTACCAATAAAAGCCACAAAAAACATTAAACCGAGTTACAATTTAGGATACAGTTTCCTTGTTTCCTCTTCTAATAGTCTTGAAAAATTATTTTTCTAACAGAAATTGAATCAAAGTGCAAAAATTAAATTCTCGTAACTTCGAAATTTTTATAAGTATATAGAATTTTTAACATTTTTTATCTTTCCTTACACGGTATTTTTCTCAGGCGCACTCTCTATACAGCTGGATAAAAACGTCCCAAGCCATAATAACTCCATTATTTTTAAAAATATGTCCATAACACTTTCTCGAACAAAGTTGCACAATTTATTATTGTTATCTGTTCTTTGGGATAGATCAATCAATGCAAACTATTCAACTTTGATCAAAGAATTGTCATTCATAACTTTAAAAATAATGAAGTTATGGTTTGGGGCGTTATTTCTAATCCAGCCTGTATTTAGAAAGACAATTTGATAATATTTCAAATGCAAAAAAAATATGTAGGGTGTTTTATCTAAATATTTTGAGCCATTTAAGTTTTTTTGATGCGCTATAAATATTAGTCTTTTTTTTCGTGTTCAAATAGTATTTTTTATTGTTTTGTGCAATAAACCAAATGTATTCGTTAAAAAGTTAGATTTTGCTCGCTCAATAATAACCAAGCTAAGCTAAAGCTAATGTTGTTTCATTGAAAAAAACACATATTTTGTATTGTAACTCTTTTCTGAGACATTCTGTACACTACAGGTGTGTCAATGTCAGTTATTGGTGTTCCTAAATTATGTTTTATTCTGAAAACCGTTGGTAACACTTTATGTAAAATTTTGTTTTCTAACAAAAAAATGTAATAATGTCGAACAATAATCGACATGTGAATATGTGCAATTTTAATTTATTGCCGAGGAAAAGCAAGAAATTTTAAAATCAAAATTATAAGTATTTTGAAAAAATAAGACCGAAATTCAAATCTTTGTTAATTTGGATCACGACAATATTTAAAATTTCTGGTAAATTGCTTTAAAAAATGTGTTTTTTTGAAATGTCCAAACATTATTTATGTGAAGCAACTCAAGTGTGCAATTTTTATGAAAATTTTTACATTATTGGTGAATTGTTAATTGTTTTCAAGGTAACTGAGATTTCTCCAATTATGAGTAAATGCAAAACGCTTTCGCATTTATATTTAATATTCACAAATTCTTCAATGTTTATATTTTTTCATTACAAAATATGTAATATTAATAAATATTTCTGTGGTAAAACTAAACTTACGGTTTTAAATGAAATGTGCATTTGGTTAAAATAATATCCTGCTGGGTGTAATTCAATCACTGCACAAAAATATAAATAAAATTAATTTCAAATAAAATGTTGAGAGCCACTGGTTGTCGGAAAACAACAAAACCTCCAACCTTGAGAAACGAAAGGAACTCAACATTGAATTTAGATCAATCTTTGTAACTTGCGGTAAGTCTGTGGTTGTGAAACGTTTTATCGTTGAAATTCCGACTAAATTCTACCAAATTTCAGTAAAACTACCTCGAGACAATCAATAGTACCCCTAAAAATGTCACAAGCCGGTCGTGTTATTGTATACGGTGGTCGTGGAGCCCTTGGTTCAAAATGTATTTCAGCCTTAAAAGCCAAGAACTTTGTAAGTACCGACAATTATAAATAAAACTGATAATTAATCATCGATAACTCTAAGTGGGTCGGCTCGATTGACCTCAACGAGAACTCCGAAGCTGATTTAAACATTGTTTTGGAAAAGGACTCTGATCTTATGCAACAGGTTTGTTTCCTCCCTCATTAAACAAACATAAAGCAGTGTTTTACAGGAAACTACAGTCCTCGAATCGATTAAGAACGCCCTAAGTGGGGCAAAACTCGACGCGGTTATATGTGTCGCCGGGGGCTGGGCAGGGGGCAATGCCTCCAAAGGTAAAACATATCCCGCTTGAACGCTCATAATTTTTTTTTGATAGATCTGATTAAAAATTCCGATCTAATGTGGCGTCAGAGTGTGTGGAGTTCCCTGATTTCGGCCTCGATAGCCGCCCAGCACCTCAAAGATGGGGGCGTTGTGACTCTCACCGGGGCCAAAGCGGCCCTTGAGGGCACCCCAGGAATGATCGGGTACGGAATGGCCAAAAGTGCCGTTCACCACTTGACCAAGTCACTCGCAGGGCCCAAAAGTGGCCTCCCGGAGAACTCCCTGGTTGTGGCCATTTTGCCCATCACTCTCGACACCCCCATGAACAGGAAATGGATGCCTAAGGCCGACTTCACGACTTGGACCCCTCTTGAGTTTATAGCCGAGTGAGTAAGATAAAATACTAGAACATGGAAAAATGTTTAAATTCTGTCATAAAATTTTGACATTTGACATTTTTTTATGTCAAAAAAAGGGTACAAAAATTTTGTAATTTTGTCAATAAAGCCACATAGTAAATTAAAGAAAAAGTTTTATAAGGGTTGATTGGCAATGCCATTATAAAACGAGTATTTTATGCAATTTTTTCTAATTTGCGCCCCCTTTTTTCTTATTTTAATTAAAAAAAATATATTGTTGTCGTCTAGAGAATTTCGTGTTAGTTGGTATCGGTTGGTGACACTCGGCGCCCACCTGATTTTTTAATCATTTCCGCCGTCTGTCATTAAAAATAAAATTTACAAATTATTAGTTATTAGTGTTACAACGTAATAAAAATAAATAAAATATGAGCTAACAGAATTTAGTTTGCACTTCGCCCGAAATTCGCGAAATTGCCGAAGCAACAACGCAAAATTTGTTACCTGACAAGTCAGAAGCGGCATACAAAAACTAAATAACCCTAAATTCATTAAAGTACAGTGTGCTTTTATAGATAGCCATAAACGACTCCTACTAAGAAACGTTAATAAACGCAAATTAGAAAAAATAACATTTAATAAAATAGCCTGTAGCAACATTTAACATTTTTTTCTGGCGCACCCTGTATAAATGTGGTCGTTGGGTTTGCAGGCTTTTCCTTGAATGGATTACCGGGAAAAACCGACCCGAGAGTGGAAGTTTGCTACAACTCGTGACGAAAAATTCCAACACTGACGTCGTCCCTGTCCACAAGTATTGAACACTGAGCGGAAAATTGGACCAAAGCTAATGCATTTTTGTTGTTTTTGTGAATATAGTTTATTGTTCTGAATAAAGCAGTCAACTTAATTGGGTGGTGAATGAATCAGTTTGAGTTTGTTAAAAAATATTTAATTCTTTACATACAAATTTATGTAATTAAAGTATGGAGAAATTGTTAGAACTGGACCGGCATGGTCGAGTTTTAACAATAGTTATCGATAAAAAAAATAGAAGGTCGCTATGCAAAAAAATCCGCACTTACCTAACATTAAAAATGTATAAAAATTTAGGTTTTTTGATTTTGTAAATAGAACGGCTGGTCAATTTTTGATAATACTTAAAATTTACGAAAACAGTTACACTACACATCTTGCACAAAATACAGCACTATACATTCAAAACAATTTAACACAAATTTGAGTGCATTTAAAATAAGTGTCCTAATGCTATATTCTCTACGGGATAAAAAATAGTTAAAGCTTAAAATCGTGCAAAATAACGTTGTGGGATAAAAATAAAGATCCATGACCCTATCACTATTTACAAAATTAATAAAAAATTCAGGCCCCGTTTAAAATCAGGCAACGAAATAGGAAGTACAAGTCAGAAATGTAAGAATGTGGATTTAAGCATGTACATATTTTACACCACAATTTCTAGAATTGATTGAAACTTCTTTGAGATGTATTTTACAATATCTAAAGCGTCTGATACTTTAAGTACCTACTCTATGGCATAAAACCTCCGGTTTTACGACGATTAGAATCACAGTAATAAAATAGAAATCTCGGAAATAGTACCAAACGCTCTTGAATCAATTTTATAAAAATACCTTAAAACGAATTAAAAAACAAGTGCCTTGTAAATAAATGCTGGAAAATGCTAGTGTTGGAAATGATTATCTACAAATATGTTTATAAAAATTTGTACTATTTTATAAAACTATGAATTGGCGTTGCTGTTGAAACGTAAAATCACAACCTACTCATTTAATATTGCAACAGAGGGACATAAAATGAAATTAAATGTCAATTCTAGGTCGGTACTGTAGAGTTAGTGGCGGGTTCTGAAATCTCCACCTTGTTACATAAACAAATTTTAAAGTATGATCCTTTCCTAATAACTCATCATTGCAAAGTATGTCAATCTGGAACAAACATTACATTAGAAACAAAACGTCATTTTTTGGTAGCTCACATCTCTATATTTTTCCATCCCATTAAGGACTTTCTTCGCGACGAATTTCTTGAGATGTAGAATCGTCGCTTGCGCTGAACAGCGAATAAATCGCCTTTTCAATGTTTTTAAATTTGAACTAATACACTCTAGACAGACATTGACTTGTTCGTCTTGTCTGTGATAATCAGATTCAGCATGCACGTCAGCTGATGGTTTCTCCTCTTCCAATTCGCCCGGATTTGGAGGAATGTCTTTAGGACATGGTAAGCCTCTTTGGTGGTAGAATTCTCTCTCGCGAGTTATTTCATCTAAAACCAGGATTTGAAACCCGGGACTTACCGACAGGTCTACCAACTTACTTTTCTGCAGTTCTGGGACCAATTTGTACACTATATCTTGCATAGTTCTATCGAAACTTATGTATTGTAGGGGGTGAGATTGGTGGATTACAATATTGCATGTTGGACAGGTATTTTTTTCTTCTAAATGCTTCACTAGACAACTTTTGCAAACTGAAACAATTTTAAACAGTTTGAGTTAAGGCACAAGGCCTTAAAGCGGCTATTTTATTGAAAACTTGACTGTTTTACTTACAGGTATGAAGACATTCTGTTACAGTCGTGGCGTCAATTAGATACCCTCTACATATCTTACAAGTTATATGACTGTTCAATGTTTTCAACTTTATTCTTCTTTCCATTATCATAATTCATAAAAAAACATTATTGTACTGAATTTGTTCTAACCCTAATTGACACACACAAACAAAAATTGTTGATAAACTGGAGTGCGCGTGCGCCAGAGCCTGGAAACTAGAACGCGTTCGCGAACACGTTAATTTCAAAAGTTTTTCAAAAAAAAATCCAAAAAATAATAATGGCTTCGTAAACAAGCATCTTACATACAAATTCTTATATAAAGAATAATGATAAAATAAAAATTTGTGTTATAAAATTTAACATGTTTATAAAAAAAGGAATCTGTAATTTTTCTATTTAAAAAAAAAACATGAGATAAATAATATTACAGTAATATGTAATATAAACAAAAAGTGATTATAAAAATAATATATTTTTTTTGTATCGAACGAAAACTTTGGTGGTAAATTTATCAAAAATCTAGTGAATTTTTTTTTGGGGGTTTTCAATGAGCCACTCGTAAATACCTTCTTGACTTTCATCAAAAAATTGAAACATGTTAAAATCGGATAAAACGCCGTTTTTTGCACTTGTAACGATCCTATAGACATTCAAAAAAGTGCATAAAACGTTGTTGTTAAAAAACGATTTTTTTTCTATTTCGGTGTCGTAACTGAAAACAGTTGCATAAAATGCAATTTTTTGATACTGTTTTTTGACATTTTATGCAATATTTTGGCCATAGACTGTCGTTTTTACGTAAGAAATTGTTGCTGTTTAACGTATTTCATCGAAACTATTGCAATTTTAGCTATTTTCGAGCAATTTGGGTACCATATATGTAAGTCAAATGTCAAAAATTTTAACTGTCAAATATAACAATAAAATTCAATTTAAAAAGCGCTCTTATTGTGATACTTGTGCATTTGTAATACTTGTAATTTTTTATTTTAATCGAATGTAATTTGTCACAATATGAAACTACTTCTTAACAAGTTTTATCAATTTAATACTTTTTCCTTTCACTTGGGTATAAAAAGGTTTGCATATTTATCAACTATTACGCATATTGGTGTGTTAAGTTTTTCCGACAAGATAAATAAATAAAAATTTTGGCCCACAATGAGATACAAAAATAAAATAATTAAGAATAATTAAGTCAATGAGGGGTTGAAAATCCCATCACCACAGCTGACCTGAAAAAAAACTCGTTAACAGCCTATTGCCTAGTGTATTTTTTTATTTTTAATGTTGGTCACAATGCCGTTCAAAATAAATTGCTTTCGAAATAGGTATTACCAATACATGAATTTTCTCTTGCGAACATGAAAAAATCTTAAGAATTAATTTCAAGATTACACAAAATGACAAATGTCAGCTCGAGTTGAATTTTCCAACGACTTCATGAAACCACTACGTTTCACAAACTCACACAAAATTCTCTAAATTTTTGAAAAATCTTTTTTTCTTTAAAAACAGCAAAAATACAGGGTGTTCGTTTTTCGTCATGGGGATTTCAGTTATTATAAGGGATACGAGGTCGGTTAAATTAGGGCAAAGTTGCGCATTTTTATGCTGAACAATAATCTGAAAAAAATTTAACGTGTCACTTTTCGTTTTTGAATTATTGGAAAAAAACGGAAATTTGTAATTTTCGTTTTTATGTTTTCAAGAGAAAACTAAAAGACATAGACATTTTTAACTAGGACGTTCTTAAGACACTTTTTACAAGGAATCTAAATCTGTCATCGTATTTTCCAAGGCGCTCTTGATATCAGAGTTACAACACTCAACTTTGGATTTTCTTATGGACGCCATATTTGAATTCTGTATTTTTGAAAAGTCTTTTTGTTTCTGATTACAACCATGTATCACACGATATGATCAAATTTTACATACTTATCAAAATTAAGAATAAGCGTTTTTGCGAAGAGTGCTTTGGAAAAAATGCCACCAATTTTAATTAACAAACAAAATTTTGAAGGTAGTGCATTCGAGCATCTTTTATAACTTTGCGTTGTTTTGTTTTGCGAAGAATAAATTCTAGTTTACCACGTTGTTCCTAAGTATTTCAAAGTCTTAGTTTTTAAGAAAGTCAACTGAACTGTCAAAATCTAGTTTGTTAATTAAAATTGTTGGTGTTTTTTTCAAAACACTCTTCGCAAAAACGCTATTTTTAATTTTGATCAGCATGTAAAATTTGATCATATTGTGTGATACAAACAAAACAAAAATACTTTTCAAAAATACAGAAATCAAATATGGCATCCATAAGAAAATCCAAAGTTGAGTGTTGTAACTTTGATATCAAGAGCGCCTTGGAAAATACGATAACAGATTTAGATTCCTTGTAAAAAAGTGTCTTAAAAAGATCTTAGTTAAAAACGTCTAGGTCGCTTGAAAAAATAAAAACAAAAGTTACAAATTTCCGTTTTTTACCAATAATTCAAAAACTAAAAATGACACATTAAATTTTCTTTCAGATTATTGTTTAGCATAAAAATGCGCAATTTTGTTCTAATTTAACCGACCTCCATGGTGGAGCTCGAAAAACGAACACCCTGTATACTATTTTGCAAAAATAAGCCAAAAAACATCCTCAGAGTCATAACACTTGTGTCTTGATTTTCTTGGTGGAAAATTTTCTAGAATGTCATATGAAAAGGAATTAGGAAAATTTTAAAATGCCTTTATTTGGAAAACAATGTACAAGACAAATCCTTCAATGTCATTATTTAATTAAAAATGGATAATTAGCATTTTCCATTGTTGTAAGTTGTGATCAATGAAACGTGCAGCTTGGCACTAATTTTATTGGTATAGAGTCTGTCCCAGAAGTCAGACGACGTCGATATCGCTTTCAAGTAAAGACAAAAGGTTTGATTTTGCACAATATGAAGACAGTTTTCCTATTGTGTATAATTTAGATAAGCATAAAGTGCACTTATAAATGCTGTTAAAACACGCTAAAAACATTAAAACAATAATGCAGAACTAATTAAGAGCCTATCTGACAATTACAGCAACTTAGACAATCAGACTTAATAATAATTAGTAAAACTCTATTGTGTAAAATGTTGCAGTTTTTTGCTAAAAACAAAATAGAATGCACGATGGTCTACAAACGCTATCATTGTCATCGTGTAAACACCAGCAATTGTCTAATTACTCTCTGCTTTTACTTTTGTGCATTTGATGCAATGTTCAAAAAGCGTCAAAAACTTTCAAAGCGATTTTTAGCAAATGAAACAATTTTAATTAGAAAAAGTTGATTGGAGCCCTCATACCGGCATGTGTCGTCATGTTACGAAACGTGAAAAATTGCTACAAATTTGAAAATTGATTTTTGGTGCTAAAATTCCGAAAGTGTGATAAAGTCGATGCCTGAAACTTTCTCCAGCGATGGCTGGTCAGAAGGAAAAAGACAGTTTGAGTACATCATACTATCAACTGATGCGTTATGTGGGACAAAACTCTAATTTTACTCTTACTACTTACTTATATACTTTAAAGAGCACATTACCACCATGCCTGCCCATTCACTGGTCGCTCTTCTGGAAGTAGTGTAGTGTGGTTTGGTCATTGTTTATTTGTGTGGTGCGGTGGTCACACTTAGACAAAATATTGGAAATCATGGATACTCCTCTGATTATTTTTGTAAGAATTTTAAATTTAAATCCATTCATTTACACAAAAAAACTAGTTCAAGAACAATACTACTATTATAAAAGCAGGCTAACACCGGCTTTAATCATGATAATGACAGTGAAAGAACTCTCATTTATAAAACAAACAAATACATAATAGCGTAACCAATTTTTAATTTATTCCAAAATCGGTATGACCGAACACTTTTATTTTATTTTCGCACCCCACTGTGGGCCTAATTTTTTTTTAGTACCATGTCGGAAAAACTTAACAAGACCGATATGTGTAAGTAATTAATAAAAAATTAAATTGTTAAAAATTGGTTTCAAAATTATGACAAATTACATTTAATTAATAAAAATAGTTGATGTGGGTGTGTAGTAAACATCAGAACTCTACAGTTAGATTTTATGTTGGTATGCACTCTGTTTATAAAAATATATTTAAAATTCACAAAACATACACTTGGCCTAAAGTAGGTAATAATGCCACGCTATATTTTTTAATTTCAGGTGGCTTCATTAAATTGTCAATAATTTTTATAGAAATTGGATGCATTATTTATTGTCATATCTATCCCAGAAGCTTTCACAGTCACTTGTTTATCTAAATCAGGTTTATTTTTTCTGACTTTCCTTCTTAGTTTCTATTTCACATCGAACTTTGTCTAAATTTGAAATATTCAGATTGTGATTAAACTTAATATTTATGTAATTAAATACATTGACGTAATTTCCGTAAATCGAGCAATCAAGTCCCGTTTTTCACTTGATTGGCTATTCGGCATTCCTAATGAATAAAAAGTGAGATTATCAATTGCTTTTCACTTTTGCTTTCACTGTCTTTTTTATCTTAATGTTTGTTCTAAATTTTGATACAAATTGTGTCTATCAATGGTTCAAGTTTCTACTCATTAGTAATTAACGTTTTTCTCACTGGACGCTGATTTAATTCATCAAAAGGAAAAAAACTGGCTTATTTAAAATTTTTCAGGTTTTGGCCATATCTTTGACCCTAGGTATCTCGACCGAGTCAACCTCATCAAGCCTAAAACGTACGAAACGCGAACCTCCGATTTACCGCCCCATCAAATACTCATACAGCCCCCCACCTCGTCGCAAACCTAGACCCGTCTACGGCCCACCTCGCCCAGTCTATGGCCCTCCTAGCAAACCTAAACCGGTTTATGGGCCGCCTAAACCAGTCTACGGGCCACCTAAACCGGTCTATGGACCACCTAAACCGGTTTATGGACCACCTTCTTACAGTTATGAAGCTCCATCGTACCACGCCCCGCCTCCATCAAGCTATGGCCCTCCTTCGACGTCATATGGGGCTCCGTCTCATTATTCGCCCCCTGCACCGTCTTATGGGCCTCCTCAGCAGTCATATGGGCCTCCAGCGCCGTCGTATGGCCCACCAGCTCAGTCATATGGGCCACCGGAGCCGTCATATGGGCCTCCACCAGCGCCGTCTTATGGACCTCCACCAGCGCCGTCGTATGGGCCCCCAAGTGGTCATTACTCGGGGTATGAGTCTCAAACGACGTCATATAGTCATTCGTCGCCCAGTTATGGCGTTCCAGAAGTGTACCAATCGTCATATGAAATTCCCCCGAGTTTCAATAGTCATCCTTTGACGTATGACACGTCATCGGCCAGTTATGGCACTCCAGGAGCGTTGAATTCGTATGGCGTGCCAGCTACGCAACATGAGGCCCCCATACATTATGACGTCTCGTCATACAGTCATAGAACCGAAGAAGTGCCCAATGAGGAATTCCATGCGTCATATTCGGATCCATACAGTGCTGATAGCAGCAGCAATTATGTCAAATTTGAAGAATCAACCAAAAAACTACAAGCGCCAGACCCCACAGTGACATATGGCAAAATTGACACCACGACCAAAGTACCAAATCATAATTATGACGGACCCGGAGTGCAAGATGACTCCCTTGTTCATTATGTAAATGACAGAAAAAAACAACTTCAAAAATTGAAAAATTACTACAAATTCAAAAATCCTGACTATTCGACGAGTGACATAGAAATACAAAAATCGCACTCTTATGACTTTTATGGCGGAAAATCCAACGGTTTGGACGAAAACCGAAACCACCACTTTAGACAACATCACCATTAGGTCGGATATTTATTGCTATTTTTTGTAAATATTTATACTACACAATATTTGACTATATTTATTGTACTGATACTACCAAAGAACAAATAAAATGTTTATCCGAAGTTTGCGATTTTATTGTCCTGAGTTTAAAATTTTTTTAAAATTATATCAAATCACTAAAAAATCGAAGAAATGTTCAGCTATATTTTATTCTTTAAACAAAACACTACCACCAAGTTTTAAACTTTTTGGAAAGACACTTCATTTTATTCTGTATATTTTTTGACACCATTTGGGAACAGACTGTATATCGATATGTTGAATCGTTATAATTATTTTAAATAATGAATATTTGTCAATAGGTGTTAGAACTCGCCCCCCAAAAAAAAAAAAATTCAAGCAAGATAAGATAGCAGGAACATGGAAAAAAATGTTTAAAAAATTCATTTGACATTTGACATTTTTTATGTCTATTTGATGATACTGATGATCTTGTTATGTTTTTTTTTATAATTATTTAGTAAAGGTACAAAAATTTTGCGAATAAAAGCCACAAATAACATTAAATTTAGGATACAGCTTCCTTGTAGCAAAAAAACTCGAAAAATTATTTTTCCAACAAAAATAAATAGAGTCAAAGTGCAAAATTTAAACTCTCATAACTTCGAAATTTTTTAGTCAGAATTTTTTTAACATTTGTTCCATGTTCTTGGTATCTTACCTTACATGGCATTTTTCTCTGGGGCGCGAATTCTGGCGCACTCTGTATACATACAGGCTGTCCCAGCGAGTTGAAAAAATCCATTAGTGCCTTTAAATAGTAAAATTTTAAAAAAATGTGTAGGACATTGATAGATACTAATCTAGTGAATCACCTAAAATTATTTTCAACCATACAGCATGTCCCAAAAATAAATTACGATACAAACTTGTGTTTTTTAAAAACACCGTATGTTTCTTGGCATTTTTGGATGTAGCCAATGTTTTTACGCTAAACTTTTAATAGTCGATTTCGCTTAGTTTTAGAAATAAGACGTTTTTTTTGATGAAAATATGCACTTTTTAAAAATTCATTGTACAAAAACTAAGAGAGCTAGAACAAATGTTTTCTTACTTCTGTAAAGAAGAAAGTACAGAATTTAACGCTGTAGCAATTTTTTTGTGTTTTGCATTTGTAAAGATTAATAAATTAAGAAGTTTGTTAAAAGTTAAATAACTTAAAAAAATTAAATAGTACACCTTATTTTTTTGTCTATCTTAAAAAATAAACTTTTAATGTCTAGAATTGATAAATGAAAAGATATTTAACATTCAATATTAATTGTAACAACAATGCCTATCAATATCAATAAATTGTAAAAGTCCTTATAAATACTGAAATTCAAATTATTTTATTGTAAAAATAAAAAATAATGGATTCAGTTTAACACAAATGTGATTATTAAGTGATATTTCTTCCATCTCTTGCAACAGTGCACTTTTTGGCTACTGAAACAATAGTAATTATTTTTTTTAATGTTTAACGTTAAATATCTTTTTAGTTATTGATTAAAAACACCTAAAAGTAAATAATTTTAGAAAGACAATTTAATAATCTTTTAAATGCAAAAACAATAAATAGGGTGTTCCATTAAATTTTTTGAAGTTATTCAACTTTTAACGAACGCCTTCATTTTTTCATCTTTGCAAATGCAACACACTAAAAAAATGTTAGAACCTTATAGCTTGTACCTTCTTCTTTGCGGTAGTAAGAAATTTTTTTTCTAGATGTCTTAGTTTTTGTGTAATAAATTTTTAAAAAGTGCATGTTTTCGTCAAAAAACCGTCTTATTTTTAAAACTAAGCAAAATCGCCTAATAAAAGTTTAGTAAAAACATTGGCAAAAAAATCTACATCCAAAAACGCTAAGAAACATATGGTGTTTCATAAAAAACACAAGTTTGTATTGTAACTTATTTTTTGAGACACGCTATATAATTTTAGGCGATGGACTAGATTAGTATGTATCAACGTCCTATATAATTTTCTGTAATTTTACCATTTGAAGGTAACTAATGGACATTTTCAACTTGTATGTATTTGAATTTTGAATTTGAAATTTGATTTGCAGTTTAGACGAAATTAATTAAAACCCCGTTTCCTCTCTGTCGATAAATTCAATTATTGTAATTATGTTCACCGTTATATAAATTGTTCTAAATTCCCACATTTTATAAAACAGTGAAAAGAAAATTTTGTTCATAATAAGGAAAGTCGACTTCCGTTTGTATAATGGCCAATAGGTGTCAATTTTGACAGTTATGGGAACATTGACTTGAGCCATGATTGCTCAAAGCAAAGCTACGATGATTATACGTTATGTGGGTATTTTCTAAAATGATAAGAGAAATTCTTCAATTGTTTCCTCAATTGAATTAAATTTAAAATCTCTCAGGAATCACAATGACATTGAAAACTTTTTTGCCCTAGAAGAAATGACCTTATCTCGAACTTCTTATCCGAAAAATTGGCTTTAGTCGTGTTCTACCAGTGGAGTGTGTGTTGAATTTGTTAAACAATGAAAATTTCTCTAGGGTTATTTATTGTAAGTTTGAAAAATTCTATAGATTACGTTAATTGAACGATTCAAGTACTTATTACATGGAATCAACTGCATGGAAAACGCCTATTTAACGAAGTATTTGAACGATCGAGCGAAAATTGTGGGGGAGAAATTAATTAGACATGCCAGAAAGAAAGAAAATCTTTACACCGTGAAACTTAATAACACAAATATAGACCTGATCGGAAATTATAGCCATGGAGAGATTTTCACTTTTTTCAATACGCCTTATGCTCTAGTAGACCAAGATTTGTACGAAATTTCACAAAATAATTCAACTGTGATCCATGTTCTACGAAAAAAAGACGTCATTTTTGTCAAGGTTTGTAATTAACAAATTGTTTCAATTTCACGTTCATTTTTTTAGACAACAGAGTTTCAATCATTGGGCTTCGTAGCATTTGCCACAAAAGAATCCTTACACATTTCGGGATTTCACAAACGAACTCAAAAATTTTTCAAAATACAAAACATCCTAACTAAAGTAACAGATGCCACGTTTTTCCAAAATCACAACAATTTATACTTAATTACTTCAAACTACAAAACACCCGACCTGGCATCAATAATGTATTGTATTTTCCCGAAAAATTTTTTTTAAACTCAATTTTTAGCATCTACAAATTCGTCCAAACGCATTTTGACGAAACTGTAAAATTTGAGGCTTCGGGAGCGTCCAAAATCCATACTTTTCCAAGCGAACAAAGCGAGATTATTTTAATTTTGCACAAGGAAGGGAAAACGTCAAGTTTGTACGAGTTTCATGAAGACAAAATTAAAACTATTCAGAAAATTGATACAAAAAGACCAGAGCAAGTTTTGGACTATTTGTATGAGGGGAAACGTCACGTTTTGATTTTTGGCCAAAGTGGCACTGATTTGTATTTGTGGAGCGGTCCGTATTTGCATTTTTTTGATTTTTCTCTCAAATGTTGTTTTTGCAGGAATTGATCTGTTACTTTGGGATCAATTTACGGAAAATGTGGGACAAAAAACATTGATTTTTTATGTCAAAAATGACCCATTTGTTTTGTCAAAAAATAACGTATTTCGTGAAATAATAATAAAAATTTTATCTAATTCTGAGTTACAGGAAAGCTTCTTATTGTTTAGTTTAAGTAATAACAAATTTAATTTAGTTTACAAGTCAAATTTTAATCTGAATTATGTCAATTTGTGGAGTATGGTGATGCACAAAAACGAGTTAATTACTTTAGGACCAACTATAAATAATTCTGTAACAATAAACAAAGTTACAATTTTGGTCCAAATGAATAATTTGGGTAATTCATTAAAATTTTTACTTTCCCAAATTAATTCAAATTCTAGCTGAAAACCTCATGGAACAAGAAACCACACTTTCTGATTGTTTTCTGACTCTAGAAAAAACTGTGTATGCACTACGAAACAAACTAACTCAAAATGACACTCTTTTGAGAGCAGCAAACGATGGGGTAAATAAATTTCCAGGCGAAAAATTTGAAAAATTGATAGAGAAATACGAAAGTGTTGAAAAATCCCTAAGAAATCGCAAATCCCAAAGTTTGGTAATTTTACAGTCTCAAAAAAGCACCATATTGGGAATTTTTTCCAGATTGTTGATGAGTCTGCAATTCTCCAAATTCCCCTAAAAACCAAAAAACTGCTAGCTCGAAAAATCAAATTTGAAGAAATTAAAAATGAAAAATGGCAGCCACAAAAATGGCTGTTGTATTCCAAACCTCAGAATATTTCAGGACCTGTGACGGCACAAATGTTGCAAGTGACAAATTTAAACACAAAACAAAACAAGTTGTTCGATGGTAGTAACAATTTCCCAGTTTTTGTTTATATCTAATTGAAAATTTCAGATTTGTTGTTGTCTACAGGGGGTCAAAAATTGTCCGGTTTTGTCACTACAAATAATTTAGAAACGTCGCAAATTGCAACTAACTCAATAAACGAGATTCCTGTTGATGAATTTTGTTACACAACTCGCCCAATTAGGGTCGAAGGGGTTAAAACTTTTCCCGAATTAAGGGCCAAAAATATTCACACAGCTGCCATAAATGGGGTATATTATTACCCAATATTTTTTGTTTAGTTACAGTGATTGTTTTAGATTGGTGCGAAAAAAACAGTGACTCTTTTAAGCCAGCAATTGAAGTACAATTTTGCCCCAAATGTCACAATTGGTGATTTGTGGGTCGAAAACTTGAACGAAATCGATTTCGAAAATTTCAAAAATTCCGTTTTCCGAATTGGGGTTAGTGACACAATCACTGGGAATCTCACTTTCCCGAATTTACTTTCGACGAAAGTCCGTTTTGGGACATTGTCCCAAAACCAGGATTTTCTGACGACTTCCACCGACCAAATAGTTAATTCGACAATCACAATTCCGAAAATTTTCACCCACGATGTCAAAACAGCGAGAATAAACGGGGCCAATTTCACAAATTTGGCCACTTTGAACGACACAATAACCGGTAAATTAATATCAATTAACTAAAATAATTCTAAAAATAATTGCAGGCCCCGTGACCATCAAGGACTTGAACATCCGGAACAACTTAGAGCTCGAAGGCGAAATCGAAACAGAATTTTTGCAAATCAACAACACACATATTATGGGGACTCACGAGTCTGATTTTTTCCAGCGCTACGACGGCCGAGTGAAAATCCAGGGAAATCTCTATTTGCGAAACTTCGAGTTGGGAAACTCAGCCAAAATCCTCATTTCCGGTGAGGAGTTTGAGCCAGAAATGGGGCGGTTTTGGAGCAAGTCCGGTCAGCAGGAAATCCCCACACATTTCGAGGCCCAAAACGGCATTTCGACGCCCCATTTGACCACAATTTTTGTCAATAACGTCCACGTCGGTGATTATATGCTTAATTCGACGCAGCAAAAGAAAAAAACGAAGTTTTATTTCGATAATGTAACAATCAGAGGAAACGTGTTGCTCAATCCGGATGAAGAACATTCGCCTGATTTACGAAGGATTCAAGAAGAAGCGGTTATAATTAATGGAACTTTCAATATAAGAGGTCGTAAAACGTATAAAAATGTTTTGAAAGTGCACGAACTTGAGCTTAATCACTTGAACAATGTTGATACGATCAGTGCAGGTTGATTTCGTCGAGAAAATAATAACTATTTTAACTGGATTTGTAGGTCCTCAAAAAATTCAAAATTTGGTTATTAAAGGTGACCTCAAGTCCGAAAATTTGACAACTCAGACTTTAAACGGAGTTAATCTAACTGATTTAATAGCAAACACCGTGTACCTCGATAAAGCCCAAAATGTCCCCAAACTTAATTTTAACAACATTTCCGGTAATTAATTCGAAAGAATTATAACAAAATTAAGTTTATTTTCGTTTCAGTTGACAATTTATTTGTTACTTCCAAATTAAACAACAAAAATGTTAACGAACTTGTTGCAAACCTCGACAAAATTAATAACATTTCTAAAATTGAGAACGTCATAGTCAGTGATAATGTCACAATCAAAAATGTGGAAAATTTGGCGAGAATTAATGATTTCAGCACTGATAAATTAATGTCAAAAAGCGTAAGCATTTTTTCATATTAATGTGCATCAAGTAGGTTGTAGAAGTCTAAATGCATCTTTAATTTAAAGGCCGATTCACACAAAAAATGTCATTAATGTCATTCAAAATCGTTATGTTTGCCACCCTGTGTTAATTACGTTGTTAATTTTAATTATTTTTTGCCACCTGGGTTTGAAAAAATTATTTTTAGGGAAGATTGTTTCAATTTTTGCATGGTTGCCACCTTAAAATCCTTTCAACGACTACTTCGATGCACATTATTATGAAAACGAATATCTATAGCGTGTTTTTTTTTCAATCTAAATTTTGCAGCACTCGAAGTACCACGATGGTACAATTTTCGGAGATGTCAGATTTTTAGGAAATGTCAAAATTCGAGACTTGCAAGTCGTTGTCATAAATGACGTCAATTTCGAAAAATTGTCAAAACGAGTTTTATACAAGTCTTGGAACCAGACGATAGAGGAACATTTTGTTTTCAATAGGCTCATATCAGGTAAAAAAAAATATGAAAAACCCCTTTGAATTTTTGACATTTTAGACAACCTAATAACTGATCAAATAAATGAATTTGAAGTTGCAAACCTGATTGATATTTCGAGCACCAAGTCTCAGGTGATTTTCGCCCCCAGAGGGCTCAAATTCGCAAAAAACACCACGATTCAAAATTTGTTTGCAAACATTGGGTGTGACCTCAATGAAGGTTTGACAAATTTGAGAAACCCTCCGTCACAACTTTGGGGCGAGATTGTAGTCAACGGAAACGCAACTTTTTGGGATAGTGAATCACTCATTAGTGACATTTTTGAAAATGTGGTCACTACTCGTAAAAATCACACAATTAGGGGAAAAGTAAGCTACTAGTTGCAATTTTTTGAAGTAACCAAAAATTTCAGGTAAATTTTGCCCACCATGTTTTTGCGAACAACATGACAGCTTTGAAAAATGTCAACAACGTGAACATTTCGGAAATCATCAAGGACGCGTTTGTGAACAAACCAAACTTGGAGCAGGTTATAACCGGGCGTAAAATCTTCCAGAAATTGGAAGCCGAGGACGTTGACAGTTTACAAAACACAAATGTTTCGTCAATCAACGAATTGAAAATTTCCGAAATCGATGCCAAACTTATCAAAAATGCACTTGACGTCCCAATCAAAGGCAAAAAAGTGTTTTTCGGTGGTTTACAAACGAAAAAAATTGAGGTGCGTGAGCCACTCTCGTGATTTTTCTAAGAAAATTGTTCCAGACTGGGTTCATATCCGGAGTTGGGGCTGAAAATTTGGTCAGTTTTGTGAACGCCACTCAGGTGCCAAACGCCATATTTGGTTCTGTGGTTGTTTTAGAGAATTTTAACGTCAAGTTTATCAACAACATGCCACTTGATGTTGTTCTCAATGAACGGTTTTTGAAAAAAGGGCCCAAGCAAGTTTTAACCGGGAATTACTTCCTCCGAAATGTGAAATTTACCGGTGAGGCAGTAACGATTTGAATGTTTTTACAACGAATCTTGCAGGAAATGTAACAACACCGCGAATTAATGATGTTGAAATGGAAAATGTTGTTTATGATGACAAACACATTATTAATAGTCTGAAGAAGTTTAACCATTTTGTGGTACTTGGAAATGTGGATGTGGAGCTTATTAATGGATTTAAGTTGTCACAATTGTACGAACAAGCCGTTTTGATTAATGAGGAAACGAATTTCAAAAAATCTGTGGTAAATATTTTGGTAAATTTCATTGTCTTCGGTTGGTAATTAAACTTGTTCTAGTACGTTAACAAACCAACTTTCATGGATGGCAACATTGAAACAAATTATATAAACAACATTTCGGTGAATTACATGTTAGAGACGAGTAATCAAAATTCGCTAAATTCAAATACTGAGCAAATACGTAAAATAGCAACAATTGTAACAAATTTTATCAAAACTTACTTCAATTCGACTATAAGTTAGTTTAGTACTTAGAAAAATTTAATTTAATTTAATTATTTTAAGGGATGCCAACTGAAGTAATGTATTTGGAAAAATCAAAAGATTTACAGATTTCGTTACCGAATGTAATTGGGGCGGAGGTTGTAAAAACGAAAAATGATGTTTTAATTCACATTGAAAGTGAAGAAGAGGGCTCCTCTTGTGGGTTACCCCCAACTTGCAAATGTCCATTACAACAAACAATGCAAGTTTCATCGAAACACTCTGTAAATATGTTTTTAAATAAAGCCACCCAACGAATATATAGTCACTATGACGAAAACATAGTTGTCCATTTTATCACTCATAGTATCAGCACTGATTCCTACTGCAGGTTTGTATACAGCGTGTGCTGAAACTGAGTACCCAGCAACACTTTTTTAGCACAAATAAAAATAAAGTAATGGACGAAATCTCATCCCTGACATGGACTGTCACTCCCTATGGCAACAATACAGGAGGTTTCTTCATCCACAGAGGCTTCTTCAATGGATACATAACCGGGGTCAAGTTTTTCACAATTTATGGCAAAACCTACATCGTAGTGGGAATTTACTACGACCCGATTTTGGAAACACATGCCGTTGACAGTTTAGTGCTGAGGTTTAATCAAGATCAGACGAAAATCGAGAAAGTTCAGAGAATACCAACTGTTGGATTGAAAACAATTTCTTTGTTTCCTACAGCGCAAGGGGTAGTTTTAGTCATGGGGGTTGATGTTTCAGGGCGGTATAACAGCACGAATACGAAGATTTTCCGGTTTGATCATCACAAAGAACAGGTTTTTGCGTTATTAATGTTAGGATTAGTCAAACTGTGATTTTTAGTTCGAGCTTCTACGCGAGTTGCCCACTTTTGATTGTCTTTTCGCCGAAGGAGTTGTTCTCGAAATGGACAGCTTGATTGTTTTAGCCAATCAACGCTCGGCTTTGCATATTTTAAAATATCACCCGAATTTTGATAATTACTATTTTTATCAAAGCTTCCAGTTGGATTATCCAGTGTCGTCGCTCTCTGTGTTTTACGCTGAAGGTAACTAAAATGGTACCAAAACCGATTTACTTGATTGATTTTTTTCAGGTTTTGGGATCAGCGACGCCTATTTGAGCGTCGTAACGAAGAACAATAAATACTTCATATTTTCGTTCCAATTTATCGCAGGTTGGAAAGTCGAATCCACCGGTCAATTAGACGGAATTAAGGTTTTAGTACCGTTCACGATCAACAAAAAATCGTATATTTTAGCTCCATCAAAAACAAGTTCGTTGCTAGCAGTTGTGGAACACGACTCAGATTAAATGTATTGTTATTTTATTGTTGTAATTTTAATGTGAAAAATAAAACAACTTTCTTTATCAAGTCAGATTAAATGAAAAACAGATTACTTTGAATATTATTTATTAAATTGGTCAAACGCGATATAATAAGAATTAAGTAATGTAACAAACAAAAAAACAGGCAACTAATAAATACAATCTTAATATTTTCTAACTCCACTCGATTTGTTATAATCAAACCGATCGGAATAATTATTAATCCCTGGTGGTGGTGGACACGTCGGCGCCATATTTGAATTTCCAGAGAATTGTTGATTCATTGAAGATCTAGTTGACGAGTTCGATCCATGGTTCCATCTATCAACGGTGGGTGGATCTGGGCGCCAACTACCACTTTTGTTAGACCAAGGTTTTTGGTTATTTGAACCAAATTTCGATTGCGAATTAGTGGGGTGGTTCCAACGATCGGCTAAAAAAAAATATTCATATTTGAATAAACCGAAATAAAATAGTACCACTCGGCTCAGAATAGTGATGTTCCCGATCTGACTTCCCCTGAGACGAACTATGTCTGTCTCTACTCTCCCCTATGGGTCTAAAATGCGGACTCCTCTCATTGTACCTCTCTTTTGACCTGAAAACACAAAAAATAGTTACTTGGTTATAACTAAGGCTCGGATTATATGCAAAATGCATATTTGTTATAAGAGGTATATCAACAAAATTGTAAGTTTTCTATGCATATCTAATGTAGCCAATTAAAAAATGCATATTTTGCATATTTTGGCAACTTCGTGCATATTTTATAAAATAATGCATCTTTGTGCATATTTTCTTCAAATCACAAATTTCCGATTAAAAATTTCAGTTCAAGTTAAAAATTGGCCAGTTTAAGAAAAATGATCCTATTACAAAATATGTTAAAGAGAAAACAACCAGTAATTCGTAAGCCGGACTCAAGAAATTAGTATCCTGTTTCCTTTTTAAATTCATTTTATACAGGGTGAATATGAAGTTTGGAACCAAGCTTTTTTTTAATTATTTGCCCCTGGAAAATAATAATTAATATAAAATAAAGTAACATAAAAAATCTGATCGCATTTTCAAAACGAAATTTTGTTTTGCTTTGAGTTATGCGATTTTTTTTTGTTAAAATTGTAATTTATGTAATTTTTTTTAATAAAAAGTTGATAGTCTCTAACACAGTTGTTTTTGGGAGAGTATACAAAACGTTTTTTTAGTGGGTTGCCATTTAAAAATATAAAATTTTTATAGAACTCAAAAACAAAAACAAAAAATTCGAAAAATTTGATTCGTGATAAAACATTTAATTCAGCAATTAGTTTTTAAAAAAATAAATAGTTTAAACAAAAAATGTTTGGTTCCATACTTTTTATTCACCTGGTATAAAACAAATAAATCCTAATATGTGAATAAGTAGTTGCCTGCAAATGAATTTTAGCAAAATTGTTTAGTGATGTAAGAGTAACATTATTTTGACGGTAACATGTGATCTGAAAAGTACAGATTTCTTAGGAAGGCTTAATTACTAGGTTATTAAAACCAATTTATTTATTCTCTTTCGTTCATCGTGTGCGGTTCAAGATGATGAAAATACAAAGTTTAGTGTACTCGAAGATAAAAATTTATTCCAACTTTGATTTTTTATTGTTAAAAGTTTTGCATATCGATGCATATTTGGCATACAGGGTGCGCCAGAACTCGCGCCCCAGAGAGAAATTTTAAGTAAGGTAAGATACCAGTAACATGGAAAAAATGTTTAAAAAATTCTATCTGTCAAAAAATGTTGACATTTATTTTTTGACATTTGACATTTTTTTATGTCTATTTAATGATCTTGTATATGTCTTTTTACAATTATTTAGTAAGGGTACAAAAATTTTGCCAATAAAAGCCACAAATAACATTGAACAGAGTTACAAAGCTTCCTTGTTTCCTCTTTTAATAGCCAATAGCAGAAAAACTTGGAAAATTATTTTTCTAACCGAAATAATTAGAGTCAAAGTGCAAAATTTAAACTCTCATAACTTCGAAATTTTTATAGATTATATACATTTTTTTCATGTTCCTGGTATCTGGCATTCATGCCTGGTATATGGCATTTTTCTCTGGGGCGCGAGTTCTGGGGCACCCTGTATATTCGAGCATATTTCTTAATATTTTGTGCATGTTTTTGTGAAAATACGTGCATATATATGCGCATATTTTACGGATTTTTCGTGCATACAGGGTGAATATAAAGTATGGAACCAAGCGGTTTAATTTTTTAATCATTTGCCTCCAGAAAATAATAATTAATATAAATTAGTGTAATATAAACAATGTGATCGTATTTTCAGAACGCAATTTTGTTTTGTTTTGTTTTTGAGTTATGCGATTTTTTTTGTCAAAATATGCAATTTGTGTAAAATTTTTTTGAAAAAAATAAATATAAAGCGGATAGTTGTAATCCTTAGAGTATAGCTTTTATGAGAAAAATGATTTTGTAGTGAGTTGCCATTTAAAAAAATATTTTTTTGTAGAACTCAAAAACAAAAAGAAATTTCGAAAAATTTTATTCTTGTTATTATCACATTTTTATAGTACTTTATCACTCATCAATTAGTTTAAGCAAAAAATGTTTGGTTCCATACATTTTATTCACCTGGTATAATCCGAGCCTTAGTTATAACCGTAGTTACTTTACCTCATCGTCACGTTCGACTGCGAGTCTCTAGATGGCGCATCTCTGGAATCGCGCCCTCTAGTGTTATCATACGAGCGATTATCGTATTTAACCGTTGGATTACCCCTAACGGATGACCCTTGATGCGACCGCTCCGACGTATAATCTCTCCGTTTCTCGGAAAACGTCTCATGCTTATCATAGGGCACCCTTTTAAAATCTTTGGAGGGTGCGAATTTTTTCGGCGGAATCGGCGCAGGAGGCGGCGGCGGTTCAAATCTTGGCGTTTCCTCAAAATGGCGTACGTTGTTCGGTCGTTTCCGTTCCTCGAACGACTCTTCCCTTCTATAGGGCACTGCAAGTGGACGTTTGACTGCTCGTCTGTCCTCTTCAAGTCTCAAACGCGACCTTTGCAACTCCATTTTCTCCATTTCGAGTTTTTCGCGTTCGATTCGTTGACGTTCGCGCTCCAATTTGATCAATTCGCTCTTCTCGCGCTCGATTCGGTCACGTTCGATTCGCAATTTTTCACGTTCGCGTTCCAATCGATCGGCTTCGTTCTTCTGGCGACGACTGATTTCACGCATCTCGCGCAGGCGCTGTGCCTCTTCGCGACGCCGACGGCTCTCCTCGCGGATGGCGCGATCACGGTCGCGCATGCGCTGTCTCTCTCTCTCCTCCTAAGGGGATTCACACAATTAGCATACTAGGTGAATAAAAAGTATGGAACCAAGCGTTTTAATTAGTATAGCGTAAAGTACAATTAAAATGTGACCATTTATCAAAAATAACATTTTTCGAAATTTCTTTTAGTTTTCGAGTTTTTTAAATGGCAACCCATCATAATAATTTTTTTAGTTGAAGATTATGATCTAAAAATGACCTCTAACTAAATACAATTGCTTTTTAGTCAGCACTTTTTTTTTAATAAATTGTTAAAATTGCGTTCCGAGCTCATCACGAAGATCTTCCGAACGTAACCGAAGGGGACGTTTCATGCATTTGGTCTTGAAGAGCCCGTTTTTTTGTGCAGGTGCTTTGGGGTGCTTTCGGATGGATTTTCTTCTATTTTTAGTCCATTCGAAACCACCCCAAAGCACCTGTATAAAAATCAGGGCTCTCCCATGATGAAATGCATGAAACAACCACTTCGGTTAAGTTCGGAAAATCTTCGTAATGAGCTCGGAACGTAACTTTAACAATTTATTTAAAAAAAAATACTGGCTAAAAAACAATTTTATTTAATTAGAGGTCATTTTTAGATCATAATCCTTAATTAAAAAAATATCATGGTGGGTTGTCATTTAAAAAAAAATCCAAAAATCGAAAACTATGGTCACATTTTAATTGTACTTAAGTGTTTAAGTGCTTAGTTTATGAAAAAAAGGCTTGGTTCCATACTTTTTATTCACCTGGTATAGTCTGTCTCAGGCCCGTAGCTAGAAACAATTTTTAGGTAGGGCGCCCAAAATTTTTAATGGGGTCGTTAGAACAGTTCTGCAGGTTTTTTTTTTAAATCTTAAATGCTATATTTTGACATTATAGTGGCATTTATGACTTGATTCGTTTTTAGTTGTGGCATCATTTTTATTTTTTTTTTAATGACAGCTGATATCTTTGTTCACTGTTTTCACACATCTTTCTTTTTCTGGTAATAAATAAAATTGAAATTAAAACTTAAAAAAAAACTACAAATTACAATTTATCACCAAAGGCTTTATCTTTTTGTTCTTGCCTTATTTTATAAGAAAACTCTTATTAGAATAGCTCACATTGCCTTATTTTATAAGAAACTATAGTAACTCAAAAATTACATTTTTAGAAAAATTGCATTGAATCTTTGATTGTCAACAAAAAATCAAGGAACTATTTAATATTATTGAAAATTGCTGAGGGTCTAAATTTTGGTAAATAATTGTTTATTTAAAGAAAAATTTTCTCATTGTTATTGTATTTTGGGCCCTATATGAGCCATCGTAACTCAAACACAAATTTTTATGAAAAATAAAAAAATAAAAACAAAAAATAATGAGCCCTTATAAGATAAAGCAACAAGAAGATAAAGCTCTTTGTTTCTTTCTACAGAGTCGCTAAAAAGTATAAGTACAGTTAAATATTATAAAAACTATTCATCAAAATTTGGTATACGCTTAAAAGTATTTAAATTCCATCGCCTAACTTCTATCGCCATTTGTTCTAGGGATACAAGGCTAACTTGATTATTTTTAAATGTCAAGAAGGGTCAAATTTAATATTTTTAAGATCTTTTTTTTTCTGAGTTCTGTGATGTAACACATGCATACCTTATTTAAAAAAAAATATATCGAACTAATTAAATTTTGAAAAATGTAAATTCTTTTAAGCCTTGGAAATGATAAGCTCATTGCTGCTTGAACATTGACCAAAAAATAGGTTGGCTGTTTCCCAAATTTCAACGTGCTCTGCTAAACCGTTCTGAAAATATTTAGCTGTATCCATACTTTTTGGCGACCCCCTGTATAACTTTTTTTTATTTTCTTTACTTTTTTTTTCTTACTGTACTATCTGAAACAGTAATAAAAATGTCGGTTGACATTAAAATAATAATAATAATAATAACGTCATTACTTGAAAACGAATGATGTCATAAATGTCACTATAGTGTCAAAATGTAGCATTTAAAAAAATAAAATCGACCCGTTCGAAGTTTTTTTTTGAAAAATGACTCATAACAAAGATAAGAATTTTGCGTTATTATTTCTAAAGAAAGTTTTAAAGTAGGGCTCAAAATAGCTACGGGCCTGGTCTGTCCAACGAACCTGTAAGCCTACAACTGACTTTCAGGAGTTAAATTACATAAAAATAATTTCGTTTATACAGATTTTTAAATAAAATTTAATATTAGAAATATTTAAACCAGTAATAGACTTTAACAGGTTGGGACAGAGTGTAAGTATAACCTAATATGTAAAAAAATTGATTTACTTTAATTTTGTCGAAAGTAAGAACGCTGGATTTATAGCCTCCAGAGGTAGAGCGATGCATCGGTCTTTCTCTCTGTCTCTCTTTAGAAGAAGTGCGCCTGCGCCCGCGACTTGATCGGTCGGAATTTAAGGATTTCTAAAACAAAAAATATATACAACATTGTGATTAGTAAAAATTTCACAATTCACCAACAAGTACACAACTATTTCAGTGTTACTATACAGGGTGTTTCTACATTTGTTTAAATTATTCCGAAGTGACTTTAAAAACAGCCTGTATTTAAACCTGACATAGGCTATAACAGCAATAAGTACTTTAGTTATAATCAATAACAGAAATAGTCAAAACCAACAATTTTTCTTGATTCCCATTCTTACTTTGACAGTAACATTAGATTAGATAATTGTATGTTATAGTCCGATAAAAAGTTATCACCACGTTTGATGATTTTAGAACAATAGGGAAAAATTGTTGCATTCGACGCATTCCAGTTCTAGTTAATTAAAATTTAGTTTATGTGTGACCATGAGAAGAAAAAATAAACTCGTAATACGTATAAAATACCACTTGCAGTTTCCGTTTTCTGTGAAAATCGCTTGAGTACGAAGTATCTTCTCTACAAAAAACTACATAAATACAAACAATAATTACCCTTCTTTCAGGGCTGGCTGGACTTTCCGTTTTCTCATTATCATCATTTTTCGCTTCACTTTTCTCTTTACCCTCTGGAGATTTCTTAGTCTGTTTATCTTCTTTCTTTTCACTCGTTTGTGATTTCTTAATTTCTTCGTTTTTAGTTTTCCTTATCGGATTAATTTCCGCTTTGATATTCTCAAACTACGTAAAAAATCATAGATCAATGATTAATTAATGAAAAAGACGAGTCATACTTTATCAATTTTGATAATCTGTCCGTTAAATTCTGTATTATTTAATTTGGAAATAACGTTAGCTGCATCCTCTGCTGATCCCATTGAGATGTATCCAAAGCAACACGATCCTGGAAACCTTGCATTAACGACGACTTTCGCGCAAACGACTTTCCCACAAGACGAAAGCAGTTGTTTGAGTTCGTTAGCGCGAGTGTTTTTGGGGACGTTAGTAATCCAGAGAAGGCGAGGGTTAGATTGAGGCTTCTTTTGACTCGTTTCATCCGCTCCATTGCTATAAAATACCATCATGTGAGAAAATCGTCGCGGGCAAAAAACTTTGTAGCCAATTTTTTGGCTACAAAATTTTTCGTCCACGTGCGGTTTTCCCAAAAAAGCGAGCTCTGTGTGTGTCTAATTTTCCATTACATCCTGAAGTATCAAAAAAAATCCATTTATAGTTTCATTCAAGTCAAATCCATGATCGTATGATCAAAAAGAATCTTTTTTGGCCCAAAGTCAGTGAGGTCTTTCCTCAATTAATGAGTAAAACCAACCTAGGGCTCGTCCCTGTTGTTTCTTGCGATTTCTTGGAGACCTGTTGTGGTGAAGAAGTGGATGATTCCGTGGTGTCTTCCATCTGGACTTGTTTAGGTGTTGGCTTCTCATCTACAGGAAGAAATGAAATCGTTGTGATATATAAATCTTAGCCAACAAAAGTACTCCCGCGAACTCTAATTTAATAATTTTGATTGGTTCAAACACTTCACTTGAATTTATCACCAAATTCATGCACGGAACTTCCAGGCTGTGACGCTTAATAACAAGAAAACTAAAGGCAAATCCCTGACGCACAAATCCTTCACTGTCTTCACTCCTATCACTTAACACTTTCTTCAGGCTTCCTCCGATTCATTCCTCTATTTATAATTAATCACTGCACTATTTGCGTCTTTAGTTTTCATGTTATTTCATATCAAAGCCAAGAATAGCGTCGAAATCTACTAAATCAAATAATCACTTACCTAAAACTTTCTTCTGTCCAACATTTTTTGCCTCCTGCTCCATGCCCTACAAAAAATTATCACAAGTCACATAAACCGACAAAATTTGAAACAAACCTCTTCAGGAATATTTTCTTCCTCTTCCAAAGTTAAACTAATGGTTTCTTGCTCTGGCTCAGTTTTACACGATGATTCTGTTACCACAGAAGAGGATTTGTCCTAAAATTTAATTTTAACAAAAAAACACCACTTTTAAGTGACTTACTGTAACTTCGCTTGAGCTCCACTTTTGTTCCTCATCTGTTGCCCTACTTTTAGTATCAACATTTGAATCTTCCTCCTTTACATCAGTGTTTTCAGTCTTTTCAGTAACACTCTCATCTCCCTGATCTGCAATTACCCCAAATTAGATTATTTATAATTTCATTACGGTTAGGCTTACAAGAAGATGATGATGTTGAAAGTCTCTTGAATGGTTTCTTCTCACCAATATCAAAACAATACGTTTCAGGGTCCAAACCCTCGCTTTGCAGGGCCTAAAATGATGCAATTCTATGACATAACTTCGATTTTTCAAGATTGTTTACCTTTTGAAGTCGGTCCACAAGATCCCTTTTTATTCCGTTTTTGTCCAAACCCCTTTTTTCTAGCTCGGCTTTTAAATCCACCACTCGCAATTCATATAACTTTTTACTTTCACCTTCAGACATTTCGAATTATCGTAATCAGAAGCTTAACATAAAAAAATGTTAATTTTTTGCACACACAACAGCCATTTAAGCTACAAATGACGGGCGGAAGTGATGATGAAGGTGACAGAAAGACGCCATCTTGTTATTGGTGCAAAATATGGCGCTGAATTTAAATTTAAATATACCTAGTGCATATTATTAAAACACACTTATAATTAAATTTAATTTAAAATTATTAACAAACTTACATAAATGTTATTACACATAAGTATAATATAAACAAGTAAACAAATTTTGTTAAACAAGTGTGTGAATTAATACATAAAATAATTTGAGTCTTAAGACAACCAAAAAGGCACTAGTGCTAGAATATTGCTTTACAAAACATTTTTATTATTATGAGAAAAATATTCCAATAATAAAATCATATGACCTAAACCCTATAAACGTGCAAAATGTCACAAACCAGTTAAAATTTTATTGAACGTCTATTATAACTTTATTAAATTTATTGTGTTATTTCACTATGCTGTTTCTTAAATGAAGCGTTTGTTTTATTTTTTTAAATTAATAAATAAATAGCAATTTGGCCCACTGTCGCCGCCTATGATCTTGCCACATTTCTCAATGTTTCAGCAAAAAAAATACTTAAACCTTAATTGTCATTTACAAATTGGCTCAAAAACAATTCAAAACCACTTTGTTTTGATAATTTATACAAAATTTGATTATTTTTTCAAAGAATTGTGGATATTAGTCAGCAATTTGTGTACGCCGCTGGTGAAACACAATAATGGCCGACCGATCTCGGCTGTGATTGGTCGTAACGGCATTTTCCGTTGCGATTGAACCAATAGGATTCACCTTAATTAAATTTAAATAACTTTCACAAGACAAATGTGATCGCCATTGAAACACGTAAATTATTAGGGTTTATGCCATTTTTTACTCTTGTATTATTAGGATTTGTTGTAATTATTGTTGATAAATGAAAGATCCGGGAGGCTTATATTAGAAAGTGTTGGTTTGTTCAGTGTCAACATGGATACGCGTAAACGCGGTTTAAGGTCTGCGCCCCCGAAGGGGCACGAGTACGCAACTAAAAAGGTAAGTGCAGTTTGAGTGAAGCATTTTTTTGTTATTATTCGTACGGTAAGTTCCATTTATCGTGTTGTACTAAAGTTAGGTTATGTTTAGGATGTTGCTGGAAGAAGGAGTTTTCCCCCGTGTCCCCCTTTGCCAGCCAAAGTTAACAGAAGGATGAACATGAGTCTATTTCAACGGAAAAGTCCCGCTAAACCTGTCTCTTTCAATCACCAAAGTAAGTCTTTAACTGACCCATATTCGTTTTCAGTTTTGGTCCATTATTATTCAACAAATGTTTTTTAGTGAATTTAAGCCCGCTGTATGACCCTGACAAGGACCCCTGCTACTTTGACCAAATTTTTGTCAAGGAATCTGTAATTGGGGAAGGTTCCTTTGGGGTTGTTTTTAAAGTGAAATCGGAACAAGACGGCAAGTTTTACGCCGTGAAACAGCTGAAATCGTCTCATGCTTCGCACTATGGCTACGCTGAAGTGGAAAATTATGAAAAAATAGGGGAACACAACAATTGTGTGAAGTTTATTATGGCTTGGGAAGAGCTGAAAATTGTCCACATTCAGATGGAATATTGCGATTTGAGTTTAGCCCAATATGCAGCTCTAACACATAAAATTGGAGAGTCGCAACTTTGGGAAATACTCTACGACATGTTGAAAGCGCTGGATTACTTGCACAGTAAAAATTTGATACATCTTGATGTCAAACCTGGGAACATTATGATGAGTCAGGGATTTTACAAATTGGCTGATTTTGGGCTTCTTGTCGATTTAAATAAAGTGAGTATTGAGAAATTCGCGATACAGACGTGTTATTTCTTGTTTTCAGCATGACGGGAAGAAAATTTCAACCATTTCCGATGGAGATGCCAAATACCTCGCCTGTGAAGTTCTCGACGGTATTTACACCTACTCCTGCGACATTTTCGGCTTGGGAATCAGTCTTTTGGAATTGGCGACGAATATAGAATTGCCCGAATTTGGACCTTTGTGGCATCAAATTCGCAAACAATACCTTCCGGCCTCTTTCTACGATGGTATTTTCTCATAAAGTCTGAAACGTGTAATTGAATTTTTTATTTTAGGAGTAACAAAATCTTTTGCCGTAACCATCGAGAAAATGATGGCGAAAATCCACTGGCAAAGGCCACAAGCCTCCAAACTTCTCAAAAATACACATTTGAAAAAAATACAAAAGCAGGATTCAAAGCAACCTAGGAATGTTTATTATGTAAGTGATTTTTTTACATTTCTTTGTGCTAACTTGATCGAATTACAGGAAGAGTTACCGCGTGAACCTTGCATAGTGTTATATAAAAACAATAATAATAATGTGGAAACGCCACCGAAGTCAAACGAAAAAATTCACGACAATTTGTGAGTGAATTATGTAGTTTATTCCAGAACTTGCTGACCCAGTTTTTTTTTCAGAAGTTGTGGAAGTTCGTGTCGGGATTCACATGAGAGGATTTCACCAAATCGTCGGTTATTATGTAGGGGAAAGCTGGCCTTTTGAGAACGATTTAATGACCTTTAACAGTTGTGATATTTCAATAGTACTTAAGAATAACTGGTCAAAAGACTGAAAATACTGTTTTAAGGTGGTAAAGTATTATTATTGTTTGGCGTTCAATTGTTTTCATTATGCACACTTTGGTCGATTGGGTTATTTTTTGCAACTTTCTTATCAGGTAATGTTAACATTGTATTTTGGGTTGTTATTTACGAAAGTTTCTTACAAAAAAAATTATGCAATACTTTATGTGATGTAGTAAACTGTTGTGATTGAGACTTAATGGATGATATAATTGAAAATAATCATTGTTTAATACTTAACGTTCTTCCTAACACCATTAAGTCTTATTATTATAGATTTGAATAAATAATTTTTGCAATTATATTGTAATATTTCATGGAAAACGCGAGATTGTTGCAACAATTTTGGCGTTTGTAATGTGATCATAATTCTATTCATGTTTCTGAATTGTTACATTTTAAGAGAGTTTATGTAAGTTTTTGTTAGAGTTGTGTGCTCTTGATTTTACTCGTTACACAGTACTTTGTTTCCAGTTCAATAAAAAAAATATTAATCATAGATGTATTTGACTGGCCAAACTACAACAAAGCAATAACAATTAAATTATTACAATCATAATTCGTAACTAATTTAAAACGACTCCTCTAACCCATCGATCCCTTCGACGTCTAAAAGCAAACAAAATTAATAAACACTTAGACAAGCAATCAAAAACTTACAAGATAAACCCCGACAATTAGTCCAAACAGACCAATAGCACTGCCAAAAATTTCAATAATCAAAATTTTGACGAAGAGTGAAGCATTGGCGGCATCCGCAATCGCCGCCCCCGAGCCTACAACTCCGACACAGAGCCCGCAGAAGAGGTTCACCCAGCCGACTGTAACCCCGGCCCCGAAAATAATGTACGCCCCCAACAAATTATCAGCGAGGCTCACAGAGGGGCTCATTATCTACCAAACACAAAATAAGTATTTTTTCAAGAGAAACATAAACAAACCTGGAAATTACTCGATAAAACTATGGCCGTGATAAGCCCATAAATGGCCACAGCTTCGCAGAAAATAATCGAAATAAGATTCTTTGTCTTGATCCGCGGCGCTTTCACCCCTGCACCCACAATACTCACACCGGTGGTGTGAATCCCGCTAAAACCAGGGATTATAACAGGGGAATAAAAAGTATGGAACCAAACGTTTATTTTTTGGAAAAACTAAGTGACGTTTTATCAAGAGTAACATTTTTCGAAATTTTCGTTTGTTTTTGAGTTCTGCAATTTTTTTTATGTAACCCACCATAAAACCATTTTTGTCATGATTGTTATGATTTAAGGATTAGAACGATTTACTTTATATTTAATTTTTATCACAAAACAGAACAAAATTTCGTTCTCAAAATACGATCACATTTTTTATATCACTTTATGTTAATTATTATTTTCTGCTTGGTTCCATTATTATTATGGGGGCTTACCCTGCTGCACCCACGACTGAAAGCGACACGGCGAAGCCGATCCCCGTGGAAGCCCACATATAGGGCGAAACGTTTTCCAACAACCTGATTTTTTCAATTAATTACTGACAAATTGGGGGTTGCTACTCACCATGCAAAGCTGATTTGTTCGCCTTTTCCCGTAAGGACGTAGTAAAGGACTGCAAATTCAAAGTGTTACTAACAAATCACATGACTGGAACCCACCTTTTTTTGCTTACCTAAAATAGTGAGGACTGTGGAGGCCAGAACAGACCCGGTGTAAGAAAGGGCGTATCTCATTTTGTGCTAATTGCCTTAATTAATTAAATTAAAAATAATATCTAACTTCAGTTTTTGGATTATTGTGGGAACATTGTTTTTTAGGGACTGGGAGCAACGCAAGACTTGTGATCGCGATTAGATAAGCGTTATCTTTATTGGTGATAACGTCAGAGTGTGAAGAAAGTTACTTTATTATGTCGTCCAAAAATACATATTTAAGTCATATTGTCTAGATTGCAAGGCACAAACCTACGTTTATCACATCATAAAAAGTGCATTGCACCAATACCTCATACATCAAACTACTCCACTACTAGTTAAATAACAGAAATATTAAGTATATAAAATAGTGTGGACAATCACAAATTACACGACCGGAATCGGACGATTTTGAAGGCGCCAAATGCAAAAGAATTTTGATTTGGAATTAAGTAGAAATGCCACTTCCGGTCCCTGGAATGGAAATACTTTGTTGCTTTTCGTAAACTTAAAATACAAAGGTACAAATGTTTCCGTTAATTATCCACACCAGTCATATGTAACGAGAGCATTTGTTATAAAAATAATTAAACTAGATATAAATAAAATCACGAAAAACACCAAAACGATCCCTTAGGAACATTGCACGTTATTTACACATAAAATCCTCAATTTGCTCGGACTTGACATGTCTGTTGGTCGGAGTAGGCATCCCATTTCCCATACGCAAGATATAGGGTATAACACTATCAATTTGCACTTGTCCAATCAAGCCAGCAAAAAACAATTCTTCAAGGACTAGCGGTTCCAAGCCTCGAAGAGGCGGAAGCCGCAGTAGCAACCTAAAACAACAAATGAACAGTGTTGTTACGTGATTAATTACAATTACTTTAAAAAGCAATTGAATTACTTTTATTGCAATTGAAACTACAATTAATTACTTTTTCTTCAATTGTAATTCAATTACTTTTTTTGGTGCAATTACAATTAAATTTCACAAAAATACATTTTTTTATATTTAAATTTGTGGAAAGTTTAAATTTTGTTCCATACTTGTACAAACTGTACAGGATCCAAGCTTCAGGATTCAATTATAACTAATTTTGAAAAAAACGGTTTTCCCATATTTAAGACTTAATTGGATTAATTTCGAAAAAGATGTCACCGTTGTGGAACTTTTTATGAGTGAAGTTCATCAACTTGCCTTCAAATGATAACCAAATTTCTACCGAATCACCTATAGAAAATAATTGTATAATTTTTGATTACATGGATACTCCAAAACATGACAACAATCTCACATATATAATTGAGTTCACCAAATAAAAAACTCCTTTGTATAAAAGACTATTCCGCAATATTTAAGATTTTTAAAAAATATAATAATTGTCGAATGAACAATTTGAAAATCTTTTGTTTTTAAAAAATAATAATGGCATAACAGTAAATAAGTATCAAATAAGTTACAATTGTTAAAATTGAATATATCATAAAAATATTTAGGATAATTAATGTGATGTAAGTTTTTGAGTTGTGTTTTTCTGTATAATAAAAGTTACAAACTATGAAATCAGTGTTTTATTGTTTAAAAGCTAAAATGATTAACTACGCATAAAATATTAATGTTTTAAATTTTTTTCCCACTTTTTACCTGCTCCTATTTAAACAGGAGATGATGTAATTGATTATTTGAAATTACACCAAAGCGTGTATTTATAAAATACATAGATTTAGAATAATTTCTGTAATAAAATCGAGCAAAATTGGATTGGAAAACTGTTATTTAAGCATTTATTTTTTGAAATACTTTAATTTAGTATGATTTCTGTGTTAGAATTGAGCAAACTTGGATTGAAAATAGCTCAAACTGATTTATTTTGAAAAAAAAATTGTTATGTAAACACTTATTTTGTTGAAATACTTTGATTCAGGTTGATTTCTGGCTTAAAATTGAGCCACAACGATTGAAAATAGCACAAATTGCTTTATTTTTTCTCAAAATTTTAATTTAAGCAATTATTTTTTAAAATACTTGATTTAACATGATTTCTGTGTTAAGATCGAGCAAAATTGGATTGGAAATAGCTCAAATTGTTTAATTTTGACAGTTAAGCATTTATTTTGTTGAAATCGTTTGATTCAGGTTGATTTTTGGGTTAAAGTTAATCCACATTTATTGAAAATAGCACAAATGATTTCATTTTAAAATACTTTGATTTAGTATGATTTGTGTGTTAAAATTGAGCATTGAAAATAGCTAAAATTGCTTTATTAAAAAAAAAAGTTATTTAAACACTTATTTTGTTGAAATACTTTGATTCAGGTTGACTTCTAACTTAAAATAGAGTCTCATCGATTGAAAATAGCACAAATTGCTTTATTTTTTCTTAAAATTTTAATTTAGGCAATTATTTTTATAAAACACTTTGATTTAAAATGAAATCGAGCAAAATTGGATTGAAAATAAATTAAATATTTTGGCAAATAACCGTTATTTAAGCATTTATTTTGTTGAAATGCTGATTCAGGTTGATTTTTAGCTTAAAGTTAAGCCAAATTGATTGAAAATATCACAAACTGCTCCATTTTATAGCCTAAAATTGAATTTTAAGCAATTATTTTTATAGAATACTTGGATTTAGAATTATAATTGTAATTAATTACATTTGCATAATTTGTAATTTCGGTAGAAATTAATTACAATTTAGCCAAAGTAACTGTAATTGTGATTAATTACATTTTGAAAAGTAATTTTAACATGAGCCTTCCACTAAAACCGCCATTTTCCTCACCTCGGAAAACGATCAACGTCATCGGGAAAACTACTATGGACATAGTTCTTCAGCCCTTGAAACGACTTCTCCTGCAGCTTTTCCACATGTTTCCTCAACAAGATATCCGGTTGGTCGGCGGAAAACAAAGTGATGGCTTTCAAATACGCATACTCGTGTTCATCAACATTCAACCGATTCATAGTGGTGGCATAATCTTGCAACTTGACAATATGGTCACTGACTTGTTTTACTTTAGTCGCTGACATCTTATCCTGCGCTATTAAAGTATGCAAGTGACTTATAAGTGCCGATAGTATCGTCGAAAGCGACAAAGTCTGCGAGCATTGCGCTAGCCCCAAAGTAAACAACTCGGCCCAACAGCCCCTCAGGAGCGTAATTTGCGCCTCAGTGGTCAAATACTGAAACGCAGGGATGTTTCGCGTCCAATGAATGGACAAAAACAGCAACCGGGAACCACTCTCGCAGATGTAGTGGATGTTCAAGTAAGGGGGGACAGGACCCGGGATTTGCAGATTGAAACTGATGTGTTGCTCGCTGAGGATTGGGCCATCGTAGTCGTAGCATTTCTCTTCAGAGGAAGTTAAAGAGGAGAGGTCGGTGCCATTAAGGCACTGGACTCGAGCCATCGTGTCTAAGGCTTTCGAGATTAACTGCTTGTCACGGGCCATTATTAAAGCGTCACTTAGTTCACCAGCCCCGGTGTTTGTACTGTCCATCGAGACGTCGTCTTCGATGCTTGCTTGGCTCGGGGACAAGTGGTACGGCAGCTCGGAGGACCCGCTATTGCCTGCAATTAAAAAAAAAAAATACTTTGACAAGAACAACATTAAATGGTGTTAAACTCAAAATCAAGTCATTTTTTAGGACTAAAAAACCCACTATCCATAACGGTAGAAGTTTTTTTACAGTTTACAACATTTTTACAGATCGATTTAAAAACCAATCAGAAAAGGATAAATATTACACATTTAGAAAGTTTAAAACTATTTTGAATAATATCATTAGCCCTTATCTTATCATACAGGGTATACAAGAACTCGCGCCCCAGAGAATTATACCACTACTAAACAAAACTAAACAAACAAAAAACAAACAAGGTCATCACTGTAAATAAATAGACATAAAAAATGTCAAATGTCAAAAAATAAATGTCAAAATTTTTTGACAGAATTTTTTAAACATTTTTTCCATGTTCTTGGTACCTTATCTTATTTGAAATTTTGTTCTGGGACGCGCCCTCTGACACACCCTATATTTGCTTTCCAATTTTCCCCACTAAGAAATTACCTGAAAATATCAAAAGTACTTTTGTGGTACCAAAACATTTGAAAAATTGCTAATTGCGTGACTCACCGATTCGCTTGTTGAGGAATTGGAGTCCCAGGTCGCAGGGGTTGAAGGGGGCTGGTAGTAAGCCTGGCGAGTCCGTGCTCAAGTCTTTCCTTATGAAGATTTTATTTACACTGTTGGAATTGTAGTTATTTCCTATGTTATTCGAGTAGTCTTTTTTGTCTATAATTGGTTTACGTTCGTGTTGTACAGCTGCAAGGGGGCTGGTGTTAGGGAGTTTATGTACGACCAAAAACAACTTACAATCACTTCTCATTCCACAAGCTAAACATTTCTGGAGTCTACAATATTGACACCTATTTCTGTGGTGTTTGGTAACTTCGCAATTCTTGCTTCCTCTACATTGATACCCGAGCTGTTTTCGTATAGACCTCTTGAAAAATCCCTTACAACCTTCACAGCTAATAGCACCATAATGTCTCCCGGAAGCCCTGTCCCCACAAACAACGCACAATTCCACGGTTAAGCATAAGTTATTCGAATTGTTGTTTCTAATTTTATCACTCAGTATTTCCGATTTAATACTATGTTCTATATCCATTTTTCTGGCTGTGAGACACGGAGAGGCACTAGATTTAAGCACTTACGACTCGCATTTGGAGTTGGTCGAGATTTTTTAAAAACCATGCGACCTTTCGTTGCATTATAGAGGAATAATGCCTCGAACAAGGTTCATGACCTTACACCTGCTGCTGTTTTTAGGTGTAGGGACATTATTTTCCTCAGGTAGCTCGATACATTTCATTCTTGACAGCGCGCCAAACTCAAATATTCAGAAATTGTTTCGCCCAATATCACCAACAATTTTTAAAAATAAATATACAATTCTACAGACTGTGGTATTGTTTTTGGTAATTGTTGTCATACAAATTAATTAAAACACCAAAACACTTTTAATTCACATGTGTAACTACTTGATTACGTTTAAGTAATTTACAATTACGTACAGAATCAGCAGAATTTAAAAAACAAAAAACACAGTATTTAAATTCCAGCGCAGCTCTCTTCGGTCAAATATTACAATACAGGAATCTATATTTTAAATTCAAATTTCAAAATTTTAATTCAAAAAGAAGTTTTACCTAATATTACCAACAACTTTTTTTAATAAGCATACAATTCCATAAGCTGTAGTTCAGTGGCGCAGCCAGAGAGTGAGTTTAGAGGAGGTTTACCTATGTAAAAAATTTCGGGCACTCATTCGAGTATATTGTAACTTTGTTTTTAATATAATTTTTTCTATTGAGATATTTTTATATTAAATTTGTTATTATATTTGACAGATTTTTGTCGTATGCGGTACCCAAATTGCTTAAAAATAGTTCAAATTGCATTAGTTTTGATAAAAAACGTAAAAAATGTAGTCTAAAATGTTTCTAAAAACAGTTTGTCATCGCAAAAAGCATTTTGTAATTCCGAATTTTGAAGTTTTTAATTTTTTTTATTTTTGTAGAAATTTTTAACGATTTTCGGTTTGTTGCTAATATAACTTCGGAATTATTTACGTTAGTCTTTCTTGTTTGGTACCGTTGGAAAACAAATTTAATTTTTTATTATATACAAAAAAAAATAATTGTTCTATGTTAAATAGTTATGAAAAAAATTGCTGAAGAAGTCAAAAACATCCAAAATATTAACTTCTAAAGGATCAAGAATTTTGCAGTTTTCTTAACGCCAAGATAAAAATTTCCTAAAATATTTTACACATATTTTACACAAAAAATTTGCTACAATTTACAAAATAAAAAAAATATATAAATTTGCGAATCTTCTGAAGTTATGAGAACATCGAAAATAATTGTATTCAAAATTCCAATGTTTAATTTGGAAATTTCTAAAATATAATTTTAGTTTTATGATCATTACAAAGTAATTTTGATTGATTTTGTTCAGGGGGGAGGTTACTCTTAGAACCCTCCCTTGATGCGCCACTGGTGGAGTTGGTGTAATTAAAGATATAATAAAACACTAAAACATTTTTTAAGAAACATGTGTAAATATTTCATTACGTTTAAGTAATTTAGAATTACGTGCAATTAGAATTTAGAAAATAAAAACCACAAAATTCAAATTTCAAAATAAAGAACGCGTTCTTCTGTCAAATATTACAGGAATCTGTATTTTAAATTTTTTGAGTTAGTGTTTTTTACAATTTCTGTTTTGGGAGCCAAGTGTTTAAACATTTTCCCTCAAATTCTGCTTAATTGCATACACCTGCTCATGTTTTATTTTTTATAGTTGATAAAACGAGAAAATGACTTGACAGTCTATGTTTGACAGTTTCGTTCAGTTCGACAGTAGCAATGTGTCGGTAAAATTTGTTTTGTTGAAATTTTCCTTACATTTCTTCAAAATTTAGTTTAATTTAAATGTAGAAACGTGCCCGTGCCTATTTTTGCATCTAGTTTATTTGTGCGTTAGTTAGTTAATCAAAAATGGTAAGTTTTGTGAAACATAAGGGAATTGTAAGTTCCACCTGCCTCTAGGTCTTCCCAAAAACGACACCCCTTCAAAACCAATCAAGAGCGATTTTAAAACTCCTTGACAAGAATTTAGTTAATCGGGAGTACGTCGAGTATCAATTTATTCAACAGAGCCAAATTCCAACCTCACATTTCCAATCAGCATTACCGCGGCTTCCAATTCCTGAATTAAAATTAACATGTGAACGGTATTTGGCGGCTCAGCGGCCTTTATTAATCGATGAGTCGTACAAAAAAACCGAAGCTAATGTCTATCGATTCCGGGACGGGGTTGGGAAGCAATTACAAAAATTTTTGAAAGACTATGACAATAAGAACAAGCACACGAGCTATATAAGTGAATTATGGTTTGATAAATATTTGAGATCGCGAAGTCCGTTACCACTAAATTGCAACCCGGTGTTGGTCTTAAACAATGACGATAAACCGGAATATAACGATCAACTCATCAGAACAACAAATTTGATTGTCAGCTCTTTGAGATTTTACCGTGCCTTAAAGTCGGAGTTATTACATCCGGAAATTTTCCATTTGAATCCGAAGAAAAGTGATACTGAACGACTGAATCTCATTTTGAGTAAATTACCGCCGAAACTGGCCTATGTTTGTGCCTATTTTTACAAGGCGTTTCCTTTGGATATGAGTCAATATCCGAGTTTATTCCAAACAACTCGTATTCCAGAGTGTGATAAGGATAGACTTGTTAACTGTCCGGAGTCTAAACATATTACAGTACAGTACAAAGGTCGTTTCTATGCTTTCAAAGTATTAACTGTTAGCAATGACATCGTCACACCCACACAAATAATGGAGAATCTTAAATTCATCCTCAGTGATAATATAGAATCTGATAAGTTTCCAATTGGAGTCCTTACAACACTTGAACGCAACAAATGGGCCACAATTCGGCATGAATTAGCCGAAAACGGCAACGATGCCTTATTAAAAACAATTGATTCGGCCTTATTTCATGTCTGTCTCGACGAAGAAACTGTTGGTGATGACCCTTACAAAATGACAAAACAGTTCTTGCACGCTGATGGTGCCAATAGATGGTTCGACAAGTCATTTTCTTTAATTGTGGCGAAAGATGGGGCTGCTGCTGTCAATTTTGAGCATGCTTGGGGAGATGGTGTTGCTGTCTTGCGTTACGCTCAGGATATCTTCAATGATGCAAAAAATAAACCAAGGGTGCATCCAAATACCACACTGACGGAGGGTTCTTCTTGTCAAGTTCAGCGTCTAGGTTGTTGATTTTTCTCCGGTTTGGACTATTCTCATTTAATTTTTTTTTATTTTGTAGAAGTTCAATTGAATGAACATTTGAAAAAATGTGTTGAAGATGCCAAAAATTTGTATAAATCGGTTTGTGATAATCTTGATGTCAATTATACGATTTTTGAAGGGATTGGGAAGGATACGTGCAAGAAGAGTCAAGTCAGTCCGGATGCGATCATGCAGTTGGCTTTCCAGGTTTGTAAAAAAAAATCGAGTCGGGGACAGTGTTACCAAAAACACAAATTTACCAGATCCGAGTTAAAAATTTGCAAAATTTTCACCAGATTACGATTTGTATGGCGAATCTCGCGAAGTTTTCAGCTTAAAAATCTGCTTGAACTATATCATTTTTGGCTTAATTCTGTGTTTTTTTGGTTTGTTTTTAACCAATTTTGCGAAATAATTACGTTTCTAGCTGAAAAACATGCTAAAACTGAAAAAATGCAAAATTAATGGAATTTTTAACTTAATTTGTTGATTTTACAGTTCGTTTTAGCGAAATCTTGCAAAAACCTTAGATTGAAGTACAAAAACGTGCTTAAAACATATTCGGCTTATTTTTATCTTATTTTGCTCAAAAATACAAAGTAACATCAATATCAATGGTTTTTGTCATTTTTAAGCGTGTTTGGAGAAGATTTTGAAAAATAATTGAGCCTTTGGTTCAAAAACGAAGTAAGTCGAGCCAAGCAAGCTAAAAATAATATCAATTTCGATTTAGTTTTGTTATTTTTTTTGTCTGCTTTAACGAAATTTTTAGAATTTCCTTTGTTTTTATCTCAAAAACGCTTGAAAAACGCCGTTTTTGGTTGAATTTGTTAAATTTCTGGTTCGTTTTTAACGAAATTTTGCGATATAATGGTGTTTCTACCTGAAAAAGTATTCGAAAAAGACTAAAATTAATTGTCATTTTCGATCCTGTAGCAAAATCTTGTAAAAAAAACAGAACTATTTTTAACCAATTTGCCAGTTTTTTTTACCAGATTATGATTTGTATGGCAAAATCTCGCGAAAAAACGCAGTTTTCAGCTAAAAATGTGCTTGAACTTTTGGCTTAATTCTCTGTTTTTTTTTTGCTTGTTTTTAACCAATTTTGCGAAATAATTGCGTTTATAGCTGAAACAACATGCTAAAACTCTTAACAAATGCAAAATTAATGTAATTTTCAACTTACTTTGTTGATTTTTCGGTACGTTTTAGCGAAATCTTGCAAAAAACCTTAGATTGAGGTACAAAAACGTGCTTAAAACATTCTCGGCTTATTTTTGTCTTATTTTGCTCAAAAATACAAAATAACATCACAAGATTTTGCAAAATAAATGAGCCTCTGGTTCAAAAACAAAGTAAGTCGAGCGAAACAATCTAAAAATAATATCAATTTCGATTTAGTTTTGTAATTTTTTTGTCTGCTTCAACGAAATTTTCTTTGTTTTTATCTTAAAAACGTGCTTAAACACTTGAAAAACGCCGTTTTTGGTAGAATTTGTTAAATTTTTGGATTGTTTTTAACGACATTTTGCGATATAATCGTGTTTCTAGCTGAAAAAGTATTCCAAAAAGACAAAATTGTCATTTTCGATCCTGTAATAAAATTTTGTAAAAAAAACAAACAGAACTATTGTTAACCAATTTGCCATTTTTTTACCAGATTACGATTTGTATAGCAAATTCTCGCAAAAGACGCAGTTTTGAGCTTAAAAATCTGCTTGAACTTTCGAAAAAGGACAAAATCATTTTCGGCCTAATTTTGTGTTTTTTTAGCTTTTGTTTAACTAATTTTGCGAAATAATTGCGTTTCTAGCTGAAAAACATGCTAAAACACTTAAAAAATGCAAAATTAAAGTAATTTTCAACTTAATTTGTTGATGTTTGAGTTCGTTCTAGCGAAATCTCGCAAAAAACCTTAGATTGAAATACAAAATCGTGCTTAAAACCTTCATGGCTTATTTTTGTCTTATTTTGCTCAAAAATACAAAGTAACATCAATATCAATTGTTTTTGTAATTTTTAAGCGTGTTTGGACAAGATTTTGCAAAATAAATGAGCCTCTGGTTGAAAAAAGAAGTAAGTCGAGCAAAACAAGCTAAAAATAATATCAATTTCGATTTAGTTTTGTAATTTTTTTGCCTGCTTCAACGAAATTTTTAGNTGTTTTTATCTCAAAATTTTTGGATTGTCTTTAACGAAATTTTGCAATATAATCGTGTTTCTAGCTAACAAAAGTATTTGATAAAAGACAAAAATAAATTGGCATTTTCGATTGATCCTGTAGCAAAATCTTGTAAAAAAAAACAGAACTATTTTTAACCAATTTGCCAGTTTTTTACCAGATTACGATTTGTATGGCAAAATCTCGCAAAAAAACGCAGTTTTCAGCTTAAAAATCTGCTTGAACTTTCGGCTTAATTCTGTGTTTTTTTTGGCTTGTTTTTAACCAATTTTGCGAAATAATTGCGTTTCTAGCTCAAAAACATGCTATAACTCTCAAAAAATGCAAAATTAATGTAATTTTCAACTTAATTTGTTGATTTTTCAGTCCGATTTAGCGAAATCTTGCAAAATCTTACAAAAACGTGCTTAAAACATTCTCGGCTTATTTTTGCCTTATTTTGCTCAAAAATACAAAATAACATCAATATTAATTGTTTTTGTGATTTTTAAGCATGTTTGGATAAATAAATGAGCCTCTTGTTGAAAAACGAAGTAAGTCGAGCGAAACAAGCTAAAAATATTATCAATTTCGATTTAGTTTTGTAATTTTTTTGTCTACTTCAACGAAATTTTTAGAATTTTCTTTGTTTTTATCTCAAAAACGTGCTTAAACACTTGAAAAACGCCGTTTTTGGTCGAATTTGTTAAATTTTTGGATCGTTTTTCCAAATTTTGTGATATAATCGTGTTTCTAGCTAAAAAAGTATTTGAAAAGGACAAAAAAAATTAGCATTTTCGATCTTGTAACAAAATCTTGTAAAAAAAACAAAAAGAACTATTTTTAACCAGATTTTCATGGCAAAATCTCCCGAAAAAACGCAGTTTTGAGCTTAAAAATTTCTTTGAACTTTCGAAAAATGAAAAAATTATTTTCGGCCTAATTCTGTGATTTTTTGGCTTGTTTTTAACCAATTTTGCTAAATAATTGCGTTTCTAGCTGAAAAACATGCTAAAACACTTAAAAAAAATGCAAAACTAAAGTAATTTTCAACTTAATTTGTTGATGTTTCAGTTCGTTTTAGCGAAATCTCGCAAAAAAACTTAGATTGAAATACAAAAACGTGCTTAAAACCTTCACGGCTTATTTTTGTCTTATTTTGCTCATAATACAAAATAACATCAATATCAATTGTTTTTGTGATTTTTAAGCGTGTTTGGACATTTTGCAAAATAAATGAGCCTCTGGTTAAAAAACGAAGTAAGTCGAGAGAAACAAGCTAACAGTAATATCAATTTCGATTTAGTGTTTTAATTTTTTGTCTGTTTTAACGAAATTTTTAGATTTTTCTTTGTTTTTATCTCAAAAACGCTTGAAAAACGCCGTTTTTGGTCTATTTTATTGTTTTTGGATTGTTTTTAACGAAATTTTGCGATATAATCTGAAAAAATATTCGAAAAAGGCAAAAATAAATTGGCATTTTCGATCCTATAGTGAAATCTTACAAACAAATCAGGTGGTTTGACGAAATAATCAAGTTTCTGGTTGAAAAACAGGTTTTTTTTTCATTTCCAAAAAGACACCAGATATTAGAACTTTTACAAAAGTTTTTATCAAATAATTGAAAAATTTTAATCTTCAGGTGGCTTATCATAAAATAACCGGTTCTTTCGTGTCAACTTACGAGTCCTGTAGCACTGCTGCCTTCAAACATGGCCGTACTGAAGCAATTCGTCCGTGCACGACTGCCACCAAGGTAAAAAAAAATCGATGTTTGCTTCAAAAACCGAACATTTTTGTTAGGAGGTTACATTAGCCATTAATGCATTGAACAAGCCGCCAGCGGCTGAGTTGAAGAAAATGATTCAGGAGTGCTCAACGATTCACAATAGGTTGATCAAGGAAGCAGCGATGGGTCAGGGATTTGATCGTCACCTTTTTGCTCTAAAATCAATGGGTGAAAGAAATGATATTAAAAGTAATATTTTTGACGATCCTGAATTTTCGCACATGGGTTATGATATCCTATCGACGAGTACTTTGAACTCGCCGGCGATTTTTGCAGGGGGTTTTGGGCCAGTGGTGCCGGAAGGATTTGGATTGGGGTAAATCGAGATATTTTAATTTTAACATTCTAATTGTGGATTTTAAGGTATGTGATTAAAGACGAGTTTTTGGGAACACTTGCAACGAATTATAAGGACCGTACTAATGGACCAGACTTTATGGCTGCTTTGACAAAGTCATTCGAAGAAATTTTTGCAATTTTGCGAACCAATTAGTTAAGCAATGATTTATATTTATTCCGGTATTTTTAGTTTGTATTGTATTCTTTTGTTTTTCTGGTTGTGTGTTCATACAGTATGACTAAGGTTGATTATTACAAAATTATATAATTTTTTATCGTTCGTTAATAAATGTTTCGCATTTTCTCTCCGAGTTTTATTTCGCCAGAAAATAATCTGATTCCAATACTCATTTGGAAACCTGTTTCACATCTAGAGTTGTTTTATTCAAACTCAAGGTCGGGTCAGGTAAAAGGAATACATTTCCCGAGCCAAAAAAATTGCGTTATTCAAACAATGAAATAAAAAATAAAAACAAGAAAATAAAACGTGATTTCTATCGGTTTCATTGACTAATAGTGACGCCGAACGACCAAGATACAGGGTGTTAAAAAAGATTCTAAAATATTTAAGGAGGTAATAGTGTGGACCAAGATAAATAAAAAAGTCTTAATAAACAAGGGTTCGCAAAGTAACGGTTTCGGAGAATTTTTTTTTACCCCATGAATTTTTTTTGCAAAAATATCTCAATTTTTTATCATAGTCCCCAGTAAATAGTCTCGAGGAAATGGGGAACATCTTCTGTAAAGTTGATTTTTGTATTTACTAGAAGCTTCTCTTATTTGTTTGAACAGATTGCAAATAAATGTTTTAAAAAACAAATAATCTTCGATATCTCCGAAACCGTTACTTTGCGGACCCATGTTTATGAAGACTTTTTTGTTTATTTTGGTCCATACTATTACCTCATGAAATATTTTACAATCTTTTTTTAACACCCTGTATAAAAAAATGAGGAAATAATATAAATATTACGTTTGATGCACTCTGGAGGTTCAATGTACAAATTACACAAATAAACATTTGCTCTTTTCTAGTTGCTTGATATACGATACAAATCCTACCACAAGTAGTTTTCGAGTTATTGACCGATTTAGAAGATATTTTGAGTCATTTTTTTTTCTGTAGTCCTATAGTTTTCAAGTAATTAATTCTTATTTCAAAAAGTCGAAATTATAATCCTGATTAATTTACAATTTTTGCTGGTCGATGGATTATTGTATGCTGATTTTCCCGGTATTTTTACTTTTCTTATAGGCCTCAGTGTTCAAGAAAATCTCATTTATTTTTTAAAAATTTGAATTTTTGACTTTTTCACTATTTACCCGGCGATTACGACAAAACTTTTTGATTTTTTGCAAAAAAATCGGCTAAATCATGCGTTTGAATTGAACTGTTTTAAATTCACGTAAATAAAACATTGAATCAGCATCGATAATTGCTTTCTATACAGAGTGCGCCAGAACTTGCGCCCGAGAGAAAAATGTAAATAAGATACCAGGAACATGGATTAAAAAATTCTACTTATAAAATTTTTTATTTTTTAATAAGACACCCTATATTTACCTGCATTTTTTTTTTGGTTGCTTAACATTTAGTGGTTGATTTTACTTACTTTTTTTAAGTTTTTGAAATATATAATTTGAATTTTTTGACAAAAATTGACACAACTAAAAAAATAAGATTATCTTTACTGTAAAGACGAACATTTAATTTTTAGAGTTATCGCTTTGCGCTAGAACTCTCGCCCCAGAGAAAGATAAGATACCAGGAACATGGAAAAAATGTTAAAAAAGTCTATCTATAAAAATTTCGACGCTATGAGAGAATTTTGCACTTTAACTCTATTTATTTCTGTTAAAAAAATAATTTTCCAAATTTTTTTGCCACAGGTTATTAGAAGGAAGCTGTATCCTAAATTGAACTCTGTTTAATGTTATTTATTTTATTGACAAAATTTTTGTATCTTTACTAAATAATTATAAAAAAACATGAAGTACAAAAACGTCCTTGACATCAATATCAATGGTTTTTGTGATTTTTAAGCGTGTTTGGACAAGATTTTGAAAAATAATTGAGCCTCTGGTTCAAAAACGAAGTAAGTCGAGCCAAGCAAGCTAAAAATAATATCATAATATAGTTTTGTAATTTTTTTGTCTGCTTTAACGAAATTTTTAGAATTTCCCTTGGTTTTATCTCAAAAACGCTTGAAAAACGCCGTTTTTGGTCGAATTTGTTAAATTTCTGGATCGTTTTTAACGAGATTTTGCGATATAATGGTGTTTCTAGCTGAAAAAGTATTCGAAAAAGACAAAAAATAAATTGTCATTTTCGATCCTGTAGCAAAATCTTGTAAAAAAAAAACAGAACTATTTTTAACCAATTTGCCAGTTTCTTTTACCAGATTACGATTTGTATGGCAAAATCTCGCGAAAAAACGCAGTTTTCAGCTTAAAAATGTGCTTGAACTTTTGGCATAATTCTGTGTTTTTTTTGCTTGTTTTTAACCAATTTTGCGAAATAATTGCGTTTATAGCTGAAAAAATATGCTAAAACTCTTAACAAATGCAAAATTAATGTAATTTTCAAATTACTTTGTTGATTTTTCGGTACGTTTTAGCGAAATCTTGCAAAAAAACCTTAGATTGAGGTACAAAAACGTGCTTAAAACATTCTCGGCTTATTTTTGTCTTATTTTGCTCAAAAATACAAAATAACATCAATTTTGCAAAATAAATGAGACTCTGGTTCAAAAACGAAGTAAGTAGAGAGAAACAAGCTAACAATAATATCAATTTCGATTTAGTTTTGTAATTTTTTTTGTCTGTTTTAACGAAATTTTTAGAATTTCCTTTGTTTTTATCTCAAAAACGCTTGAAAAACGCCGTTTTTGGTCGAATTTGTTAAGTTTATGGATTATTTTTAAAAATTTTGGGATATAATCGTATTTCTAGCTGGAAAAGTGTTCGAAAGAGACAAAAATAAATTGGCATTTTCGATCCTGTAGTAAAATCTTACAAAAAAAAAGAAATAACTATTTTGAACCAATTTGGTGGTTTTTGGACTTTTTTGAAAAAACTTGACGAAATAATCAAGTTTCTGGTTAAACACGTGAAAAATGCTAGAAAAACAGGTTTTTTTTCATTTCCAAAAAATCACCAGATATTAGAATTTTTACAACAGTTTTCACCAAAGTCTAATATGAAAATCACCAGATCGGTGAAATTTCATCACACCTGGCAACACTCATAGTTTCCAAGAAAAATGCATTTATATTCTTGAAAATTTGAATTTTTGACTTTTTCACCATTTACCCGGCGACTAAACGTTTGCAAAAAAATCGGCTAAATCATGCATTAGAATTGAACTGTTTTAAATTCACATAAATAAAACATGGAATCAGCATCGATAATTGCTTTCTATACAGGCTGCGCCAGAACTTGTGTCCCAGAGGAGAATGTAAACTAAATTCCAGGAATATGGATTAAAAAAATTCTACTTTTTTAAATAAAACACCCTATATTTACCTGCATTTTTGGTTGCTTAACATTTAGTGGTTAATTTTACTTACTTTTTGAGTTTTTGAATTTTTTCATAAAAATTGATTACACAAGAACTAAAAAAATAAGATTATCCTTACTGTAAAGAAGAAGATTTAATTTTTAGGGTTATCGCTTTGCGCTAGAACTCTCGCCTCAGAGAAAGGTAAGATACCAGGAACATGGAAAAAATGTTAAAAAAAGTCTATCTGTAAAAATTTCGACGTTATGAGAGTTTAAATTTTGCACTTTGACTCCTAAATTGAACTCTGTTTAATGTTATTTGTGGCTTTTATTGACAAAATTTTTGTATCTTTACTAAATAATTATAAAAAAACAAACAAGATAATCAGTATTATAAAAAATGTCAAATGTCAAAATTTTTTAACAGAGAAAATTTTTTAAACATTTTTTCCATGTTCTTTACTTGAATTTGACAACTAAAATTCTCTCATAGAGACTCAGAAAAAAATCATTTTTTGAGGCGCCATTGTGACACAATTGTTCTATAAAAATTTAAAATATTGCTCTTATTACTAGAAAGAAATTCTCAAACCAAAGCGAAGCAAAAAGTGTTAGTTTTTAGGGTTTTCGGATTTGCTGGGAGATCAGTGTCGGGCTTAAATAAAAATCGCTTGTATTGCTGTTTTTTATTTCTTTTACTTACATTGCAAATATGAGTAAGAACATGAATCTAACAATCTAATAATCTATAATACTAACATAATATGACAAACAACATCTACTCTGAATCTAGAATGGCAAAATAATTAACATACGAACAAAACTAGTTTGCGATTGAGCTAAGTTTAGATATTGTGTGTTAAGATAAAGGTTCACGTGTTGTATTTGGCAAAAAGAGGCAAAGAAGGCCCCCTCCTATCAATAATGCTGCTACAATAAATGTTGGTGCGGGACAATACTTATCTAGTAAGTTAGCAATAACTAAATTACCAATTATACCACCAAGTCGTGCTGCTACCATTGAAACAGCCACACCGGTTGCCCTGAGATTCGTCGGGAATATTTCAGTTATAAGACAATCCAAGGCTGCATTACCGCAAGATATCACACTGCTGAATACAGCTGAGACGACCAAATTGTGAAGTTTGTTGTAAACGAAATACATTGATGCTGCACAAAGACCGGAGGTCACTGTGCTAAATACTGGAAAAATGACAAGTTAGTCTGGGTCTTGGAAACGGCGACAGATCACCTAGGAAAAATTTACGACCGAGAAGATCCATAAACAGCACTGCTATTATATTGCTTGGGATTGCTGACGCAACCGTTATCAATGATTCTAAAAAGACCGAACTTCCAATTTCGTCCGAACAAATACTTCCGTCTTGTTGACTCCCATGTTCGGTGACGAAAGAAGTGACCTCGCAGACGGAAGCGCTTTGGTTCGGGTGTTTCACAGCGAATTCGTCAAAACGGTTGAAAAGTTCAGGGAACCACATCATCAAACCGTAATAACTAATAAAACAAATCATGAAATTCGAAACGGAAACCCCCAATACTTACCCAATGTGGAACGTGAAGTTGATGGTGATGGAAATGACAGTGAATTTGAGTATAGGTGTAACAAAAAGTAGCTTGCTATTTTCTATAATATCACTTATCATATTTTTGTATTTCCCCTTGAGGGGTGTTTTGGTGTCGATGAGTTGTTGTTCAAACGCTTCATCAAGTATAAGTTGTTTGACAGGATAGTCCTCCTTTTCTCGTCCTGTATTTGTGGAATAGATGTGTTTGAAAATGACG